AAAACAACAATCTAAACAGTGGAGAAGACCTGGTTCACCACCCCCTAAAAAGGCTAAGTCGATTTTGTCGGCAAATAAGGTGATGGCTTCAGTATTCTGGGACTCGAAAGGTGTGATTATGATTGATTATATTGAAAGGGGTCAGAATATAAACTCAGATTACTACTGCACCTTACTACGTCGTTTACGAGAGGAAATAAAAGAAAAACGTCGAGGAATGCTCAGAAGAAAAGTCCTGTTTCATCAAGATAACGCCCGTGTTCACACGTCAGTACAGTCAATGGCTGAAATTCACAACTGTGGCTTTGAACTGTTACCGCATCCACCGTATTCACCTGATCTGGCACCATCAGACTTCTTTCTGTTCCCTAACCTAAAACAGCACTTGGGAGGTCAAAGATTTTCGACAAACGACGAGGTCAAAGCAGCTGTAGACGCATATTTTGACTCTAAGGAAGAATAATTTTTTATCAACGGTCTAAATGCTTGGAAGGGGAGGTGGCAAAAGTGTATTGAACTTGATGGTGATTATGTAGAAAAATAAAAATAGATATAACTGATTTAGTATTTGTTTATTTTCTTGGTTAGGCCGAGTACTTTTCAATCCACCCTCGTATCATTTCATAGTTAAGTAATTAAATTCAAAAGTTGTTATTAACGGTGAGAGTTCTTCCGTGTCGTCAGTACAAGTGGGCGTTTCTCAGGGCTCAATTTTCGTTCCTTTTCTGTTTCTTATCTATACTTACAAAGTGAGGAATAAACATGATATAATGTTATTTACTGATGATACTTCATTGATTTTCAAACTAAAACGACCATTATTTAAAACAAGACGTAGTGAATAATGCTATTTCTAATTTGTAACGTGAACAATTTGCCTTTTAATGGCACTCAAACTAAATGTACAAAAATTCTAACATCGAATGTTTAACATCTAAATAAGTATACTAATGTTATTTTAAACGCGGAACTTCTGAATCTTGTTCATAGCACCATTTTTCTTGTAATTAAGCTATACGCATAGCTTCAAACTAACCTTAAACCTGTAAAAAAAATTGAAGTATCACCATCGTTAAACAGAAAAATCATTCATGGGATAATGTTTTACTACGATAATGAAAATAATTCCTGAGATTAAGGAGATATTATATAATTTATATAATTGAATTTAAAACATAATTGTAAACTGTTTATTTATAAAAATGTCCCGCTGGGTTTCTTGCTGGTTCTACGCCGGATAAAGATATTTTCCGAACCAATTTCAAAATAATTTCCAAACAACAAAATTAACCTCAATAATTACTTTGATTTAGTGTTATTTATAATTCATAATGATATTTTTTTTATATTTCTATTGCAGTAGCATCAGACGCTGTTATTTCTAGTTTTCGTTATGCGACTAGTTAAATATGTAGCAGAATTATATAAATCGGCAATTAAGTGCTTGCCATATATTATGTAAAATATTCACGCCAATTTGCACGCAAAATTCAATCACGATAAAACGTCACTAGCACAAACAAGCCGTCAGCTTTCAATGTATACAGAACTTGAAACGATCATGGGTACCATTAACAATTTTATTGCATTGCATTTCCTACTTCAAATGCTAGCATTCGCAAACACTAATGCATACACGCGTCATTCTTATATTACCCTACTTCTCTGCTTAATATTGTAGGTGATTTAAGTCGCTACATTATATTGTTTCGTTGGCTGATTTCTGGTAAGAGGGGTATAAGACTCAGTATAATCATATGTAATTATAAAAATAGGTTCCGATCATGACTTTCTACATAGCTCGCTGAGCGTTAACCTTGTGTTCCTTATACGGCCAGCAGTCCTAACTCCTAGACTCATGTCTCATATCCATATGTGATCACATGCAACACACACTGTTTTTTTTGTTTTTTTAGTTATGAGGAAAACGTGATGAGATGTGTCGTATTCTCCCAAACACTGCCCAGCCGAGTTAGAATAGATCCGTCGATGGACGTCTTTATTGAAGTTGAACTTACCTTTTTTGACTATTGCCAACTCGCACCCTTGCCACGTGGGGGCATAGACAAGTTATCTAAACTCGTACCGATTAAAACAACATGATGGCCCATCGTATATTGGCAGGGCCATGGGAAAGCTTTCGTACAGATTTGTAGCTACACCAGCGCCGGTGCATTTCTGAATAGTTTAGTTGGACTCACTTGGATTTCCAAAAAAACTATATAGACATATGTAGGTGTGACACGGACGTTACAAATGACGTTTCCCCCATGTTTATCTTAAGACCTATCCGCTGGAAAATACTATTGCGGCCATTGAGAGTGGTGCTAAGGTTTGATTCTGTTATGATGACTAAATCGTAGACAAATCGAATGTACGTGCTGGTACTCGCATTTGATGTCGGTATGGTTATCCTTTCCGGTCGAATATCTCAAAAATGTCTTCCAATGCAGCAGTGAAGTTTCGAGGATGTAACGTCATGGTCTTACGCTGTCTTACTTACATATCGCCACCTAAGGTTCGACGGAATCAAAAACTTCCTTACAGTGATGGATCACGGCTTTTCGGTCCTTTATACAATTTTCCGAAGGGAAGATATGTAAACAATAGCCAGTTATAATTTATTTTGTAAATACGATTATTTACAAGGGAAAAAAAATACAAATTTCCAATTTCAAAATTTTAGTCTCCGCGGTCAGTCTCACCGCAGATTAGCCATCTGCGCAGGACAAAGCTATAGTGTTCAAGTGTATGCACAAGCAGAGGTGCACCCTCTATTCCCTCATTCTCATAGTCTGATGGGACGGTAAGCCGGCACGACCGGAGAGAGATCAGGCGCAGGACTAACAGCTTTACGTGCTTTCCGAGACACGAGGATGAAACACCGGCAACTTCACGACTCCGAGCTGCTACTGAGAATTTCTTAACAGTAAACACAATATCTGACTTTGGCCCAACTCAGGATTTGAACCCGGGACCTCGTGATCAGAAACCGCGTTTACGACCCCTAGACCAACGAGTCAAAGCTAGTAGGAGCTAAAATATATAAATAAGTATCGTGTTTCATTAAAGACTAGATCTGCCTCGGGAACATTTTCGCGCAACGATTTCAAGTGTCACCGATGCTCATAACTCCTAAGCAACCCCGCGTGTTATCAAACCGTGACATGATTACTAAATTTGAAGCAGGCTCATCTCTACGTGTCATACGACATTATTACACCTAAGGAATCTTGGATTTATCAATGCGACCTAGAAACGAAACGCCAGTCGGCCGTTTACCTGTTTCAAAATGAACCAAAGTCTACAAAAGTTAAGCGATCGTGAAGAGCGGTGAAGATTTCGATCGGTAGCTTTTTTACTTTTTTTTTTTGTTTATCTGGTGTCAATTACTTTAAGAAATCCAAGTTACATCAACTCCTAAACGAACGAATTCTAAATGCGTTTTAGAATCAGAAGTGATCACTGTTTTGAGTAACAAGCGACCGAACACGGCTGTCGATATTGCTTCACTGTACACAACGCACCCGCACACTCGTCGCTCAAAACGAGGGACTTCCTGGACAGTACACCGATTTAGCCTTTGGGTCACCCTTCTTATAGCCCTAATTTGGTATTATTAAAGTTCATAGTTAGTGTTATATGATATCAAAAAGTTCAACATTTGTCCTGATCTCTTCCCTATATGATTTGTACTTAAGAGCTTTGATTATATAAATGACATTCAAAGTTTATGAGTAATGGGCACTTTTGCCGGATAATTGCATTATAATGTTGTTGTGTAATCATATTGTTTAAAAATAGAAAATAGAAAAAAAAACTCATATTACGCTGCGACGTTTCATACGCCCTTCTTATTCTTTCATACTATCTAGTGGATTTGTTTTTTGTTAGTTCAGGTTTAGATAACTACTAGTAGTTCCCCGCGACTTCATCCGCGTGGTATTTGTTACGACTGGATTTCATGGGTTATAATTTTTTTTTTTTGCGCGGAACCCTAATTCTTTTACTAAAATAAAAAATCTCCTTATACCTTCAGCTATCTAAAAAATGAAAATCCTGTCAAAATCGGTCCAGCCGTTTCGGAGATTAGCCGGAATAAACAGACAGACCGACAATAATTTTGAAAATAATTTTATTTGTTATGTACCGTAAATACTTTCATATGCCTTTAGTAAAAAGCTGTTATTTTGATATTCAGAACAAACAGACACTTCAATTTTATTTATTTGTATAGATGTATTAGATATTATGCGTACTGTTTAGGTACAATAGGTAGGTAACTAAGTTCTGGTAGAAAATATTTTGTGACGTTTTTGGATTTATTCGCAAATCACACAAGTTTGCAGTTGGCACCTTTTCAGCTTTAATGCATCAGATATTAATTTTTGACGTAAACATAATATTGTTTTCTTTTTGTAGTCTAAAAATAAAAACACAAGCTTGTACTAGGTTGTATTACTATGACGGCAGTCGAATATTTTTTGTACTCATTTGATTTTGCAGTCGGTACCTTTCTACTAAAATAATAAAGCAATTAATTATAGTTATAAAATGTAGGTGCATAGGTATTCATTTTTGTATTCATAATTAATTTTTCTAATCAAATATTACCTAAGTATTATGTTATGAAAATTATTACAAATCAACATTTAAGCCCGTAATTTTATAATAAACATAAATCCATATTATTTTTATAGTCATCAGATAGGGAATTTAGTAAACTACCTACCTACTTTTCTCTGTATTCTGAGACTACCTACAAGTGGAATTTAAGTGACGATGTTGATTACGAACATCTTCGTTCTAAAGATAGAATGTAAAAAGTGGCTACTCTTATACTATAAAACAATAAGAAAATAATTAACTTTTGAAAGAGTGATATTTTTAACGCTTTTAGCCATCAGAATATAGATGAAATTTATTTCGGTTGTTACTTTTATTGTATAATATACCTATATTTAATCAAGAACTAGAACTTTAAAGAAAATGATACTTACAATATGAAGCATACTATGCACGAACAGCTGTTAAAATTTCTCTTCTCGGTTTGATTTAACGCAATCTTCTCGCCCCAACACCAAACGAAAACACAACACTCGTTTGTTTGTATTGTCTACTTTGTACCTTTTCACTATAAAATTTAGTCAAAATAGACTTTTATGCACACGTGATAGAAAAGTAAAAATTAGTATTGTATCGTTTTGTTGTTGGCTGCAAATACCATGAATAGCGAACGCACAGCGATCGCGATAGCAACGCGACACACGTCTCACTCGCTATCAAACTCTACACCATTTAAAAAAATTGAGATTGAACTGAGTGAATGATATAAAATGAAAGAGAATAAGAATGAAATGTGAATGAATTGCGTTTAAAAACAAAACAAACCGACGACCGATTTGCGTTGCCAGGTTGCCGGCGTTGAAAATTGAATGATTTTTATTTCACATTGATCAAGATAATGTTACCATTATAGAACATCATAATTTTTATTAATAACTATTTTTTTAAACGTTACCCCCAGACTAGGATTTTCTCCTATGCCGTGGAAGCAGTTTACAATCATAAATTGCACGAGTGCAATTATTTGTAGGCCATACAAATACTTGTTCCGTGCGGAATTCGAACCCGCGGCCCCCAGCGCAACAACTCATTGCTAAACCACTGCGCCACGGAGCCGTCTATTAATGAGGCCTAACAATCTTCCGTTTACCAGATGTCGCTAGTTGGGACTGAAGTAAAGTTTTTTGTTACACAATGTCGTTTTAAGGCGGCTACTCACATGCCTGTCGTAGGGGCAATCTAGGGTGTACAGCGCAATATCTGAACTGTCTCTACACACATGCCTGCCGTTCAGTATGAGAGTGTACGTCTCCATATCAATTTTACGAATCAATATCAAATATCAATGAATGGGTATATACAGCCTTGGCTCTTTATTTATATAGAATAAGGGTGACAAATGAGCACAGTCCACCTGATGGCAAGCGGACACTGTGACCCATAGACACCCACATTTATCAATAAAACAACTATATTTATTAATAATTACAACCATAATATAGTATTTATAAGCTGTAGCATAGCTCTGCCATGCTATTTTTAGGCTACAAAGACAATTTAATGTGACTAACTTCACTCGTCATAATTTAATATAACCAATTTATTCTGTGATATAACTTAAGTAACTAGTGCTTAGTAACTATAATTTAACTCTTTATACATTCTATCACCATATATATATGACTTGTACTCATACGTGTGCTCCGCGCGAATGTCGCAACGAACTGATTGAAATTGCCCCGATTGGAGTACACACGTGACAGCAGCAGCTACGATCTAGGGAGCAAAGAAAGTCTTGCGCCCCTGCCGCCCTGCCGGGCCGACTTAGAAAATTGCCCCTGCTTGCATACACACATCACAATTAAGGAGGCAATTAAGGGTCATCACCACTCCTACATCCTAGATTGCACCTGCGGCAGGCAAGTGAGTAGCAGGCTTTATTAAGAAGTTAGTTTTAAATAAAATCAATTTATCAGTTTCTATAGTAATTACAAAACAATGCCTTAGGTGGTACTTTGGTATTTTAATTTAAGTTATATTAAATGTAACTATATTACAGAGAGAAACATTAACCCATACATTTTCCTAACAAATTTATTCCCATATTAAAGTATACAAAAATAATATAACATAAATATATTGAATAAAGTTACAAATACAAAGTAAGTTTATACAGGAAATTCTGTCATTTGAAAATAAATTCGCGATATTTCTTTTAGATTTTCAACTATAGTGTAATGGCGCGTCTCCACCAAAATTTTCAACATTTGTCAACACGTGTTGCCGACAAATGTTTCTGTCAGGCGCGTCTCCACCAAAAATGTTAACAACATTTATGTTTCCGACATGTTGATAAATCAACAAAAGTTGACGACATTTGTTTCAAAATGTTGCAAAAGGAATACGCTTGTTGCCGACATTTGTTCCCTCGGTGGAGACGCTTCTCGCAACATTTTGAAAAACTGTCGTCAACTTTTGTTGATTTGTCAACATGTCGGAAACATAAATGTTGTTAACATTTTTGGTGGTGACGCGCCTTAAGCTGTACGCTTTGGATGATTGGTTGTAATTTGGATTTTGGTAGTGTATGGTAGTGTATCTTGATTTTTCATATGGTAACATTAGTTTACGTCCATCTTCTATCATTTGCAAACTCAAAAAACGACGACGAAAAAGAATAGAATTCCCTTTGTCGGTTAAAATATTGTTTCTTGTCGTAATAGATCATGTGAGTGATTCATGCAATACGTGTTTTTAAATTTATTTTCTGTAGTTTAAAAAAGTAATAACAAGGACTACATAAATAACGGTAAGTTTAACGACAACTGAGGCATTTTGTTTGTATTGTAGCTAGAAAGTAACCGTTTTCGGATGTTCGCTCGATGCTCGCTCTAGTTTCACATCTAACTTATATTGGGTATGGCTATAAATGAACTGGCCCGCGATTAAAATTTGTTCTGGTGTATTGGCTAGGTAGCCATTGTAATTTGAAAGGAAGACATCGTTGAATCATCATTTTGTTGATAATTCGCTTTCGGTTTTTTATTTAAATTATCCTTAAACATCAGTTAAAATAAGGTATTCAATAAAATTAACATAGGGATAGTTGTATTTAAAAATATAAAATAATATAAAAGGTAATTATGTATATTAAATATTATATTTATATATATATATATATATAGGTATATTTTTAATCAAATATACCTATTTATATGTAATTATGTATAGAAAATATATCCTCATAATATATTTTCAATAAGAACTGCAATAATGACCTTGCAAGTAAAACTCCCTAAAGGTCAACTCAACTGCAGACTGCACATATGCATTGCAATAATTATGCTCAGGGTTACCCAGATTCCTTTTATGAAAATAAATGTGGAAGACATAGTTATTTAATTACATCAAGTTTGAAATCTGGTCCAATTTCTAGTTTTGCCCTCAGCTTAATCTTAATTTGAATAGCTATATTAATTCAATATTTTATTTACCGGTTGTAAATCAAATATTGTCAAATAGTATTCCAAAAACATAAAAATTTAAGTAAAACTACATAAACACCAATAATTTAACAGCTATATATAATTTTTGGTTCTTTAGGATTATCTAAACCAATGTGCTCTTAAATGGGGAGGAGTTGAGCCTTGTGGATACCACTGTTTTTCTTGGTATTACTATTGACCTGAAACTTCAATGGGGCCCCCATATATCTAAATTAGCAAGCAGACTTAGTTCTGCAGCAAGAAGCTGTAAAAAAGATTAGAAGTCTCACAGATGTTGAGACAGCTAGGTTAGTGTATTTTAGTTACTTTCATAGCGTAATGTCTTATGGAATTTTGCTATGGGGTAATGCTGCTGATATTGAAGCTATATTTGTTTTGCAAAAGAGAGCCGTACGGGCAATTTATAATCTAAATGGTAAAGAGTCCCTTAGAGAAAAATTTAAAGAAATAAACATATTAACTTTGGCATAGCATTATATTTATGAAAATGTAATGTATGTACATAAAAATATAAATAGCTTTAATAAGAATAAGGATGTTTATACCTTAAACAAACATAAGCTTGTAATGCCAGTTACTAGACTCCACAGAATTAGTAATTCATTTATGGGGCAATGTATACGCTTTTACAACAAAATCCCAGAACATGTTCAAAGTTTGTCAATAAACAAGTTTAAGTTTTATTAAAGAAAAACTGTACAAAAAGGGTTATTATAATATCAAGGAATACATGAATGAAAATAACTCCTGGGAATAAGGTGATCACCACCATGCTGGTTCTATGAAAATTCTTAAAAATTGTATAAACAAAATTATTGTTAAGCAGGGATGGAAAAAATCATGATTTTTTTATTTTTAATCAAATCATGCTGATTTTTTTTTAAAAATCATGATTTTTTTGTTTTTCTTTGAATTTTTTGATTTTTTTGTATATTTGGAAATACACGAGTTGGTAACACTTTTTAACATAGGATTAAAAGTTTATGAATACACTAGCTGTTCCAAGCGACTTCGCCTGCGTGTTATTTGGGGTTTTAGTTTTTTTGCACGGAACCCTAATTCTTTTTCTAAAATAAAAGTAGCCTGGGTTACTCCTTATGACATCAACTATCTGCCAGTGAAAGTCCCGTCAAAATCGGTCCAGCCGTTTCAAAGATTAGCCGGAACAAACAGACAGACAGACAGATAAAAATTAAAAAAAAATGTATTTTTGTTATAGGTACGTATCGTATATACTTTCATATGCATTTAGTAAAAAGCCGTAATTTTGACATTACAAACAGACACTTCAATTTTATTTATTTGTATAGATATGTATGAAACTGATTAAGAGTAAAATAATTAATACATTCTGTATTAATTACAATTCATATACATATTAAGAGTGAATTTCTAAAAAATTAAAAAATTGATTTTAAAACTGACAGATCTCATCGCTACGTCTTTGTTGATTTTCCAAAGTTTATGAGACTATTGTAGTAGAATAATAAGAATAACATAAAACAACAAAAGATTTTACTTTTTTAAGCCAGTTTTATTTCATTTTCTGCCTATTACATTAATTTATACATGTTGATTTAAATCAATGATTTTTTAAATCAAAATCAGGTGATTTAAATCGTGATTTAAATCATGATTTAAATCGGTCTGATTTAAATCAGCCAACCCTGTTGTTAAGTGAAATTATGTTTAAAAAAAAAGTCCCACTGGGTTTCTTCCTGGTTCTTCCCAGGACAGAGGTATTTTCCGAACCAGTGGTAAATAAAATAATGACTTTCAATAAGTATTATATAATAATCCATATTGAATAAAAATCATTCTATTCTATTCTATTCTCATTGACCTCTGAATGCTGAATCCTTTCAATATTATATTTTAATTTATTTACAGTTAATGATTATATCTGCATTCATTATAATGATATAATCATTAACCATAAATAAATTATGAGTTAGCCCAAGGGCCACCCCAGCCGTACCTTAACTTACCATTACTGATATTGCAAGATTAGTGTAATGTTTTTTTAGAAGAGCTTTGAGAGGTCGACTGGATAATCCCAAAGTTTCTATTTTTTTGGTTTTAAAGCATTAACTTTAAATGTTAATAAATTTAATGTGTTTAATCTAAACTCTTAATTTTAGGAGTAATTTTAAAAACTTATAAATTTCTTTATAATCTCCCCAAAATTAAATCTAAATAACTTGTCATAGCGTAATAAACTTTATCTTATCAGGTCATACACATTTTAAACACATAATATTTTAAATCTCACACATTGGAATAGGATTTTCTGTCTTATTCTTTATCTTTATGGTGGTTTTGAAGTGACAGGTCTTTTCTCAATTTTTTGAAGATTATGGAGCATGCAGCTATTTTAAATTTATTTTTAAAACTGCAGCCATGATGCATTTGTATTTCTATTATTATTTCTATTCATTTGCTTCCATTTCGTTATCCAACTACACTAGTATATGAAAAAGCCCGAGTACTAAGCGTAAGAAAACTTTTTATCTATCAATGCATACGAAGGTACCATCGTATAACTGCACCATGTATCAAAATTCAAAAGAAAAGGACATTCAAATACCCGACCCCTAGAACAAGAAGTATTTTTGCGAAAAGACACTATAGTTACATTGCCCCGCATTTGTACAATAAGTTATACAGGGAATTTAAATTAAACTTAAATAATTACAGTAACCACCAAATAAAGGCAAGGATCAGAGTGTGGTTAGAGAATCTTGATTATGACAGCACAGAAGCACTTATGCCGTAGGTTTACCACAAGTAATACTCACACACATAATATATTCCAACACACACACACACACCCACTCACACTTACACACACATCAACACACGAACAAATACACACACGCACGCACACACACACACACACACACACACACACACACACACACACACAAAACAAGCGCTTAAAATAACATTTTTTTTTAAATTTCTTATTTATATTTCTTTACTTGCTAAATAATTAAATTATTATTATTATATAGAAATTGACCTTTTAACAAGGCTAACTTTAAGGGGAGGAACTGGTTCCTGAAACACAGTTATACTAGCTCAGGGACCAGGGAATCAATGAATATATGTAAAAAAGGTTGTTATTAAATAAAATAAATAAATAAATAAATAAATAAAATTAAGGAGCTAGTATATTATATACTATATATAGAGCTAGTATAGTAAGGTATTCTACTTTATGTGCTTTAGTCTTTATGGTATAATAATAAATTTAGGTTAAGTATTGATGCTGCCCATGACTACTTGTTACTACTTGTTTATGTGGTAGAGCCATGCTGTAGCTATATTAGTAGTATAATTGTAGCACGAATGAGTCGGCTCGACTGAGAAAGGATTGCACTCTCACAGAATAATAGTGTAAAATAGCAGCTTAACACTGCTGTGTTTCATATGGTGAGTGTAGAGAACCAGAGACCTTTTTTACTGGAATAGAGGCATTTCATCATATTCTTCACGGGTGACAGTGCATCTACATTTTGATTCGTAATCAAGGATAGATGTAGATGTCTATGGGCCGCAGCAACCACTTACCATCAGGTGGACTGTGTGATTGTTTGTCATCCTTATCCTATAAAAAAACAGGCTCTGGGTTTTTTTTGATGGATTTTTCTGTGTATTCAGTTAACAGTATTAGATTTAATAATTAAAGTTTCATATTAATTTCACAAACAAGTTTCAGGTAAATTTGACATAAATACATATTTATTTAGTAAACTACTGACATCATGTAATTTGTGGTATGTGAGGCTGTCCCCCTGGACAAATGGCACTACTATTGATCTAGATAGCATGCTACTCACCCTCTACTTCATCTTCATCATCATCCTCATCCTGCAGTAGTGCACTGCTGGACAAAGGCCTGTCCCAAGTTGCCCCATTTAGTCTTTGATTATTGTCCACTTATATTATCAGCATCATTACAGCTCTCTTACTTTATATAATAAAATTTTATTGAAATTATAATTAAGTAAATTATGTACTGATGTCAGCATTGTATTTTCATAATATGTTGTATGTATCTTGACTTTAATAATTAAAAAATTTATACAACTGACTTCAATATTATTAAGAATAACCCATAATCTATTGGTCAGACCTTGATCAAATTTATATGGGACCACATGAGAAGCACCAGCTTTCAAATAAAAAAAGAATCATTGAAATTGGTTCACCCAGAAAAAAATTACAAGGTACACATTTAAAAAAAATACAGTTAAATTGAGTACCTCCTCCTTTTTGAAGTCGGTAGAAAAATGAAAAACTGTGAATAAGAGCTACAACACAAGAATGTAAATTGTCTTACATTTATTTAAACTTTTAAGGGTTAAATTTTTTATTATATATTGAATATTATTAGTATGAGGCTGCCACTCGAGAACCTTTCTTCCCCTACAATTGTCAGTTCTTCGAGCTATATGACTGGTCCATTGCCACATAGACTTAATGATCCAGTGGCCATGTGAGTTAGTCTTGTTCTTCTGCAGATAATTTCATTATGGATATTATCATGCAGAGAAATTCCTATGCTTCCCTTTCCATCACAGGCTGAGTAATTTTGAGTTTCTTCATATGGACAGCTGTGGGCCATGTTTCAGATCGGCTAGTCATTACTGGCAACACACACTGGTTGTACACTTTTTTCATCTTAAGATTCTGATGATTCTGCTTTGCTAGTTTATTTAAAAAAAAAACATATTTAAAGGCATTTATTATTTAGAATCAAAGACTGAACACTAATCATGGAGGATGAAAACGAATATAAGAAGCTACCGACAGAGGAGAAATGTGTTCACAAGTTATGGAAGGCTCGAGTTGCAGGATATGAGGAGGCCATCAAACTCTTCAATCAGATTGATGATGAGAAATCACCAGAGTGGAATAAGTATTTGGGACTGATAAAAAAGTTTGTGACTGACAGCAATGTCATGGCTCAGGAGAAAGGTAGGTTTTAATTATATTAATAGCAATTTCCATCTCCAGTGATGAATTGACTATTATATTAAGTTATGAAAGGGATTTTATTGTTACTTAACCATAAATAATTTGCTTTAAAATATTGTATTAACAAACCTAGTGGAGACTTCGATATCTAATTAAACAGTGGTAGAGCCACGCGGCAGCTTTTGCTGTCGCACGGATGGGCCGGCTCGAACCCGGGTGGTACCATGACCTCACAGAAAACCAGCGTGAAGTAGAGGTTTACCTCTGCATTTCGCTTGGTGAGTGCAGGTGGCCGGAGGCCCTTTTTACTGGAAATGAGGCATTCCATCTTAGTGCTCACGGGTGACAACCCATCTACACATTCATTGATTTGTAATAGAGGATAGATGTAAGATGTCTATGGGCCGCAGCAACCACTTACCATCAGGTAGACTGTGTGCTTGTTTGTCACCCTTATCCTATAAAAAAAATCTAAGATGCAAGTTTTACAGACTTCAGGCAACAATTCTTCACCCATCACTAGTATCGTTTCAGATGTAACCTTAAATTCATTGTTGCTATATTTTGTATATCATTCGTGGAAAGAAAATAAAGTAATCGAAACTAAGGATACAGGATGCAGGAGTGGTGCTACCTTTTAAAAGGGTGGCTATTTTAACTGCAGTGCACATTTCAATTGTAATAGTTTCAAGTAATGATTTTAAGATTTTTCATTTTGAAATATTACTTTATTACACAATTTATTAATTTCCTTTAGGGCTTATGGTTTAATCATTGGATGAAAGTTATTCACAGGATGAAATACAATATAAGCAATAAGATGATGTTGTAGTTGTATGAATAAAATAGTTCAATTATTTCATTTTTATATTCAGTCTGTTTATAATTTATTTGTTGAAAAATTAGAAAATAAGCTCTTAATTGACTAATCAAAACTCATCTTGCTGTAATTTTTTTTCTAATATTAAATCTAAGAAAATGAAAAATGAAAACCATCATATTACAAATAATATATTATTGTTTAATTGAAAGGGTTGGAAGCTGCATTGGTGTTTGTAGAAAATTGTGGTCATGCTGGAAAGACTACAGGGGAAGTAATGTCTGGAATTGTCACAAAATGCATTGCAGCTCCTAAAACAAAAACAAAAGACCTTGCTCTGCAGGTAAACTTCATTTTTTATATTATATATTTACTATATTATCTTATCTTCACTTGCATCCTAAATGTAGATAATATATAAGTATATATATTACATATCATAAATCAAAAATGTGTGTTCTGTTGATATTATTACTGTTATTGTTTTCAGGTAACACTAATGTATATTGAAATAGAGAAACATGAAATTGTTGAAGAAGAATTATTAAAAGGAATGGAACAGAAGAACCCCAAAGTGGTTGCTGCTTGCATAGTTGCTCTTACCACTGCTCTAAAACAGTTTGGCAATAAAGTAATAGCTATTAAACCAATGGTTAAGAAAATACCCATTTTACTTGCAGACAGAGACAAGACTGTGAGAGATGAAATGAAGGCATTGGTTATTGAAATGCATAGGTAAGAAATAGTCATAACTTAAGTAGAATTATTTTATTCAGCTTTAATTTTAAATCTATTATTTATACATCAATATAATCTTTGTTATTAATTTTGGTTGATGAAAAAGCTACTAAAATTTTTTCATAGTATGAATTGGGATGTAGTAAAAATCAAGGGTATTAAAAAGCATATTGTTTGATAAATCGAAGGAAAAAATTCCTGAAGTGTTTATGTTGATAAAAAAAATTGCAAAAGATAACATAAACAGTTCCACTCCAATTATTATTTAAATACAATCAATACATGGAAGATCAATGGATCTTGACTGTGTTGTGTGTTAATGGAACTACTTCAAAAGCTGTGTTTAAGAATTTTATATTATAAGACAACATAAAAATTATATTTGACTATATGAGGGTGATAGCTTAGGTGATATACATACAATGCATATTATGTATCTACATAAACATAAATTGAATCCAGGAGACATTATCAAATGTTTAATATTTAAATAAAATCCATTACTATGTTTTAAGATTAGCACTTTCTACAGATAGATGCCAGACTCACATTGCAATATGTAGTGATAGTACCCATTATTATGTATGAGGTGTTCAAAGTTAAAAGACAATGTGTAACCACATTTATAATTGTGATTGATATATTATATATTCAGATGGATTGGGGCTGCAATAGAACCACATATAGCAAGTCTACAAGCAGTGGTCCAGCAAGAGCTAAGAGAATCATTTAGTAGTGGAGGCGGTGCCCAGCCCACCAGATATCTTCGCTCACAACAGAGTAGAGTGCGAGATACACCGGCAGCTGATGCTATTGATGGTAGTAATGTTTATGTGTATAATGTTGTTTTATTTTAAATTTGTTCCATACCCACAAATCTTAGTAGTGGTGAAATACTCTCAACAGCCTTAAAAAGAAGAAGAATTGATAATTGATAGTGGCACTGGTGAATCTGGTTGATTAAAGATGATGTATTCACAGTACTTGCTGCACAAATCTTTTAGTACTGGTATCACCAGTATGGATTATTTAGTATTGTGTTATAAAAATTAAGATTTACTATTTACTTCATTAAGAAGCTACATTTTATGTTATTCCTATAATATATCATCATCATTATCATTACATTACAGTCTATCACATGTCCACTGCTGAACATGGCCCTAGGTATGCCACAAAACACGGTCCTATGGCACCTGCATCCATTGAGATGCTGCATTTGACCAATACGTCACTTCTAGCGAGTGAATAATATCGAATGAGAGTTGCTTTTGAATTATCACTCACACTTGCTATGTGTGGCTCCAACGGCGATGGTACAACTGTCCATAGAAACTCAATCTCGCTCAAAATCTCAGGTATCTCGGGAAGGACGCTGCCACAGTTAATTCTGCTCCGTGGCACAGAGGCTTGACAATGAGTTATTGCGCTGGGGGCTGCGGGTTATAATCCCGCACGGAACAAGTATTTGTATGGCCTACAAATAATTGTTCCGGATCTGGATGTTTGTCCTCGTGCAATTTATGTTTGTAAACTGCCTCCACGACACAGGAGAAACGTTTTTATATTTTTGAGAAAAAAAAGAAAAAGGTTTTCAATTTCCATAGTTAGCTCTTTTCAGCAGACATCTCAGGATTGCATGTTTATTATGAACTGTATTATAGTTGCGTAAGTTTAGCCGTTTGGAGATCTGTCTGTTCTGTTGCCTGTATACTGTCATATCAACAGATATGACAGTATACAGACAGACAGGTATATATATGACTAGTTTTATTTCCATCTAAGACTTCTAAGTGCCAAAAAATGTAGTGACGACTCATTTGGTAAAATCGGTCTAATGGGCCGCTACAGTGAAACATCGATACAAACATACATATGTACATATAATGTCAAGTACAGAACACTTTGTTTAAATAGTTCTAATCGGTTTGAAATATAGGTTGAAAGTGACAATCCTTGGTTGTAGCAAAACATAGCAAAGTAACCGTCACATTGTGGCATCACTAGTATGGTAATTTTGCCAAGTTAGTTTTTTTTAGATAAATGTTAAGACCAACATGTTAAAAACAATATATTACATTTGATAACCATTAGCATTACGCTAGTACAAAGATATATAGATACCTACATTCAGTATTTCAAACAAAATTCATTCATTGATATTAATAAGTATTACACGAACCAGATTGATCAAAATGTATCTTAATTTTATTAGTCATACACTAAATGAATTTAACGACATCGTTTTTTGTTTCGCTAATGGCGCATTAATTGAGGTGTCTATGAAATGGGAAAACGGTAAAAACCTTGTAAAAGAAAGATCTTATTTTGTACCACGTAAAACTTCATATGAATAAAGTGTTAGAGGGAGAAAAAAATACAAGAATTTTGTTTATATTTTAGTATTCCCTCTATACTAGTAATTACTCTGAGGGCTATACAAATACAATAAAATTTCTGAACAAAGAGGTTATTTCGCCGGCACAATAATTTCGCATTAAAATAAAAGGCCAAAATTAACTCTCATGTTGTCATGTCTAAAGCAATGCTGTCAATTAGTTATTGTTTTTTCATACAAAAAATGGCATGTCTCGGAAAACGTTACGTTTTCCGTTTTAATCGTAATTTTGTACCAGTACATCCCTGATGGCAGACTTAACTTCCATTGGTAAAGTTGCCAGACTTGACTGTAACATTAAGAATCAGTATACCTATCACCACATCACACATCACATCACATGTAATTTAGAAACTAACTCCGTATTTTCAATATATTCTTGTATTGAGAATACGGGGAGAATTTCCTTTAAATTCACCATATTTCATAGGCGGAGCTGATGACGACGACGCAGAAACGGGCGGTGGAGACTCTGCTGATATGGATCCCTACGATCTTCTTGACCCTGTGGAAATCTTGTCAAAATTACCTAAAGATTTTTACGATAAACTAGAGAAAAAAAAATGGCAAGAACGCAAAGAAGCTCTTGACGCATTGGAGGGGCTTCTAAAGAATGCTCCCAAGCTGGAACCAGGAGACTATGCCGATTTGGTCAGAGCCTTGAAAAAGGTCAGCGTCATTACTTTTAAATGGGTCCATTTAAAAAGAGAATTTTCATACTTTTTATTTATGAGATTAATCGTTTTAACTATTTTGTTTGAAATTTGCTTCAGGTTATAACCAAAGACACGAATGTGATGTTAGTTGCACTTGGTGGACGATTACTCGGAATGGTAGCTAGTGGCCTTCGAGGAAAATTCCAGCCTTACGCGGTTGCTTGCGTGCAAGCTATTCTGGAGAAATTTAAAGAGAAGAAGGCTAATGTAGTGGCAGCTTTGAAGGACGCCATTGATGCTATTTACCCTTGCGTAAGTGTTATTTTTAATTTTTATTATTACATTGGTCTTTGATTAAGGTTCAACTAAAGTTAGTAGTTATGTTAGTTAGTTATGTAATGTGCTTGGTGTGCAGGCAAGAATTTGTGCCAAGATAAGACTAAGAATATGAAGCCATTGTTTTATGGTTTGGCATATGTAACCATAATCACAAAAGTTATGTATAGCTTGAAAAAACTACAACAAAAACCAAAACAATCTTTTATAAGACATAGAGTGTATAATCTGAATCAAATAAAAATCGAAAGATCAAAACACCAGTGTCAGTTTTTTGTTTACTTTGAAATTAATTATTCTTTTTGTTGTAACAAGTAGTTCATTCGACTTTAGGTGGCCCATAGCTGAAAGGTTATTTATTTGATACCCACATGATGCTTCCATTCTTACCTACACAATTTGTGAGACAAAAATTTGTAAACAATTTTTCTTTTTAATAGACCAATTTAGAAGCGATAATGGAAGATATGCTAGCCGCGTTCGACAACAAGAATCCATCGATAAAAGCAGAAAGCGCCCTATTCTTAGCGCGAGCATTGTGCCATACCCAGCCGGCAGCGTTCAACAAGAAACTAATCAAGGCTTATGTTGCTTCATTACTCAAACTGTTAGAAAGTGCAGGTTAGTAAACTATTCTTTGGGACTTATAATTAAAGTTACAGCCTATATACGTTCTACTGCTGGGCACAGGCCTCCTCTCATTTCTGAGAGGGTTTTCGGGCAAGGAAATGTCCATCGCGCTGCCGTAATGCATGTTAGCGAACTTCACATGTCTTCGAAATATATTTTTTCTTATTTCTCAGGCATGCAGCATTCCTCACGATGCTTTCCTTCACCGCCGAGCACTTGGTAAATCAGCCCTTTAAATTGCAGTTAACAATTTCATTGGTGCCAGCGGGGATCGAACCCAGGTTGCTCGCATACTACGAAATTTACAGCGAGCGCTTAGCCGCTGACATGCTACCACGACTTTTATAATTGCGTATTTAAGATTAGTCAAATTTAATACTTTTAAAGAGTTGTGAAAACAAACATTCCTATAATATTGACTAAACTTTGTTTGGTAAATATAAGTAATAAAATTGGTTGGACTCTTTCGACCTAGGAGTGCACCAAATAACAGTCAGTGCTTCCACCATTGTGTTCTGGTGTCTCTCATCTCATAACTTGATTCAACTAAGTTCTAAAATCACTACTAAAAGTACCAAATTCAAATTTAATATGATGTGTGCTGCTGGTGACGATTACTACGCAATTTGTTATGCCAGTTGTAGCTGGACTGTTGATAGCAGCCGATATCTGGCACCATTGTCGTTGCTTACCATTAAAGGTCAGGAATTGATAGATAGATAGATACTGAGCCATCACAAGAAAAACTAAAATTTTATAAGTTTTGACATGTTTAAAAGGCTTTTTCGTTAAGAAATTTTAAAACGAACGCAACAAAACGCATCCGCAATTTTCCGAAGTGCGGTCAACAGCAATGTCAGTTCACAATACAGGGTTATTTTGCAATAACCGGTCAGAAGATTCAGAATAAGTGATATAGGCAAATGGTGAAGAAAAATTAATTAAAAAAAAAGTCAAACATTCTGTAATTCTTATCTTTTAAATTCAAAATGCGTGGTAATGCACTATTTTAACTGATTGTCCTTCATAAGTATCTAACGCCTACTATTTTACTACATACGCACACATTCGTAAGGGTCGGTCGGTCGCCAAAACATTTGTGAATTGAATCACATTCGGATGAGCGGACGTACGCGTAGTTGTTGCCCATAAATCACATTCTATTTGGGATAATTTTACATAAAAGCAGAAGCTTTATTTGCTCGTATTTTCAAAAATTGCAATAATGGTATATCATTATTTATGTATTTGAATTTAAGTTTAAAATTTGGCTGCTCTTTGAAAAATAATCCTGTATATTAACCCTTTCCCTATCCCATAAATCAAATATGAACATTTCGATTGTTTAACTATTGTGTCTATGTCATGGACAGGGAAACTAAAGATACCTGCAGCAAAACAGATCTAAATGCGGGATTTCTTACCTTGTGGCTTAATGACAAATTTCGCGAATTTTTTCATCAATAATCAAATATCGTAAAATAAATCTTAACATTACAAACTATATAAGTTTGTATAAGATAAACTAGTCTCTTACAAATTAGTAATTTTTTTTAAATACTAGTAATGCTATTAAACACTACTAATATTCCCTTTAACCACCTCTGGTAAGCTTAAAATGCTTGTGTTAGAAGTGATTCACGACAGTAGTCGAATGGCGGATTCAAACCCACGACCTTTAGAGTTCGCGGTCCGCGCCGTGCCATTAGGCTACTGACGCTTCATATTTATCACCATTAGGTCTATTATTTTATTATTGGAAAATCTTTAATGCACATAAAGTACAAGTATAGTACAATTGGCGGTCTTAATGCCTACCAGTCAGCCACTAGTCAATTGTGGCGTTAAACAGCAAAAATGAATAATAAAACCTAAAAACAATGATACATGTTTATTCATCATTTAAAAAAATATATAACCGTAACACTTCATCACATTTCAAAGAGAAAAAAAAATGCAAATCAGTGGTCTAAGATTTAACCTTTAGACTCCGACCTATTTTCAATATGTACTATCTCTTTGCTTTCGAGAGCAAATAAAGTGATATACTCATAGTTTGCAGACGTAATGTTTGCTATTCGGAAAGCAGTATTTACATTCTTTATCTAGTGTCGTTGGATTTACTGTAGCGGGTGCGCGTAGAAATAAGTTGATAACTTTCTTCGACTGTCATTCTGAATAACATCTTCATTAGCTTATCACTGCTGACAAACTTAGACTTTTGGTAGACGCGCCATATAGCGTGATCTTTGGCATACGCATCATATCGTATCTGCGTTGAGCAGGTCGCCGCTCTATCGAGCCTGGTGGTTTTCACATTACGTTTGCCTAAGCCCGGTCTCCACTCGACAGACCGCTTTTATAACATTTATTAAGAAATAATAATAATATTATATTATTATTATTTCTTATTCGAGTCTAGTCTTCGCGCGAGTCATGACAACCGTCCAAAACTACTTATAGACGTGGGTTTGTTTCTAAATTGTAAAACAACAATTTAACTAAGGAAAGTCACTTTTATTGAATTTTATTAATCTACTAGCTGTGCCCCGCGTCATCACGTGTCCGAGCTGCACGACATGACCTAGTTCAAGCATTTTATAACGGCTAGGGTTTAAGCGCGCCCAGCCAAGTATTGAATTATTTTAATTTTACATTATCTCTTATACCCCATTTACACTCTCGCGCGAGCGACGAGGCGAGCCACGAGGCGCGAGTGTAAACGCTAGCTCGTGGCTCGCCTCGCAGCTCGCCTCGCCACTCGCGGCGCTCGCGTCCCAGGCGGTTTTTCGGGCACGAGGCAAAGGGCCTCGCGAGGGACGCGAGCGTGCTGTTTACACTCTCGTCTCGTTTCAGTTTGTTTACGGCGCCCTTCCATAATAACATTCGAATTGCTTTTGTTTTAAAATTACAATTTTAATAAAATAATATTATTTAATCTTGCACAATAGGTACTAGCAATTTATATAAAATTATGAAACTGAAAAGGTTCTGTTTCGATGAATAGATATCATCCGTCATATTCTTCCTCAACGACGTATTTTTATTAATTTCCTTCTTTTTTAAAATGTGCAAACATCGATATATACTTATTAAGGCAAGAGTTGATGCCGCTATTATTTCGACGTCATTCATCGTTGCTGGCTCAACGCAAACTGACCGCATCGCGAGAGTGTAAACAGGCACTCGTTACCTCGCAACAAAACGCGAGCTGCGAGGCGAGGTACGAGGCGAGCTGCGAGGCGAGGTACGAGGCGAGCCGCGAGGCGAGAGTCTAAACGAGGTATTAAACTATGCGTCCAAATAACATGGTATAAAGAACAAAGTTTATCTTCATATAATTGTCTTGATGACGAAGTAACTTTCGTTCGTAAGGATAAATAGGCTATGCCTATTAATAACGCTCATAAATCACTTAAATTTTCAATATTTTTTTGTTACAAAACACCAAATTATGGCTTATGTATAAGAAACAGACATATGGTATAGCGGACTTTTTTTTAGACGGAGTAAAGGTCTATATTTTTCTAGAACATTGTATTTACGTAACCCTAACGATAACACCAGCATACGCGGATAAATCATTTCGGGAGTGCTTTTTCTTGTGACTTGCTTAACAAATATCCATATTTAAGGCTAGCTGATTAATATAGCTTAATGCTAGATAGCCTATACTATTCCACATGAATCTGGCTATAATAAACAAAAAGAATTTTACAAATCGGACTGGTAGTTCCAGAGATTAGCGCGTTTAAACAAACAAAAAAACTTCCGCTTTATTATATTAGTATAGATTATTTTTTTGACTGGATTTTGGCTTTTGTTATCTATTCTCAATAATTTATCTTAGTCCCGTTTTATGTCCTCTCATTTATTTCGCGACAATGGACAAGCACGTAGTCAGTTCATAATCATACAAAAGAAATAATAAAAAATAATTCCCCTCGTTCTAAGGTTTTTCTCTGGGCGCGTTTTACATACATAAATTGCATATGGGCAGACTTCCAAACCTTGAACGATTATTTGAAGATTCTAAAAACACTTGTTCGGGATTTGAACCCGTGGTCCGTGGATGCTTAACCTATGCGTTATCTAGCTATCATTATAGAGATATCTATTTTACACTAAAAACCCAGAACGCTTATTGTACTGTTATGTTTTTAATATCTTCAAATTATTTCGACGACATTTCTTTGTTCGTCAGACCAATAATATCAATCGATCCATGACTTAACGGTCACGCTAACCAATTTAGGAGTTTCCCGCCGGTCATTGTTCGAATATCTCAAAACGAAAGTGTTTCTTCTTGATTGCTATATGTATTCCGTGTTTAGTTTATTGAAAAACAAATTTCGTAGACAATAAATAAACGGGCTTCAGCCCAAAGTGCATCATTTTATTATCAGTTGTTAAACCTTTCAAGGTTAATAAAAATTAATTCTACCATATAAATAGAGATATTGTGTGGTTCCTTGTAAAGTTGTCAAAATATGTCTACGTTTCCGTTCTTCTTGTTTATAAAATATGATTTATCTTCATATTAATCAACTAAATCGGAAATCAAGCGAAGTACCTATATTCTCTTTTAACTCGAAGTAAATTCTCCGTGATATACAATAACCCTAGCGTTGATCCTTGCTTTGCTATGGACGACTGCCTTTCAAATGTTTGGATTTTTTTAAATTATCAACCAATCTGTGCGAGTTTACTCAATAAATTTATACACAAAACAGTTATTTACGCTATGATACAAAGACCGTTATTTTTCCTCCTATTTACTATATGATCGTTTTTACAATCAAATCATTACAAAATACGCGGTAAACGATGTTTTAACATGCTTACTATAAACCTCAGATGTAAACAATATACCATGCCATTTATGCAAAATATCATTTTACGAGTTTATTTTTCTACGCTTGACAAAGATAACGAATTCTTCAGCCCCCAACAAAAGTTTAAAAAGCTGTTAAAATAACTACTTCTTAGTAAATAAAAATAATTCAAATGGTTGTTTATATAAAAACGACACCTTAAATGGTTTACATACCGAATTTAACATTTAAAATTCCTTGGCTTAAAGATCCCGTGGTTCGAGACGCGGCGGCAGAGGCGCTCGGTACTGCAACCAAGTTGGTTGGAGAGAAGAACATTGCGCCCCATATTGGTAAATTGGACAATTTGAAGGAGCAAAAAATTAAGGAATTCGCTGAAAAGGTGAACATAGCTTTAATATTTCGTTCTATTTTTAATTTATAATTGAACACAATAATATCATATTATTATAAACTTAGTGTTTTATTAATATTTTATTTTATTTTTTATTGATTGCCTCGTTGCTCTAGTGGGCGTAAACGCTGCTGCTGATTATGACGCTCTGGTTCGAATCCCGGGCCAAGCAAAGAAAAAACAATTTTTTTAGTGTTAAAATAACGTTACTCCCACACTAGGATTTTCTCCTATATCGTGGAGGCAGTTTACAAACCTAGATTGCACGAGGACAATCATCCAGACCTGGAAAAAGTATTTGTAGACCATACAAATACTTGTTGCGTGTGGGATTCGTACCCGCGGCTCCCTACGCAACTACTCATCGCTAAGCCACTGCGCCACGGAGCCGTCTAATTATTGAATTTTTTCGGTCAAGAAATTCTCAGTAGCAGCCCAGTCAACATGGTGGTGTTTCACTTCACCACTGCGCCTCGGAAAGGACGTAAAGCCGTTAGTCCTGCGCCTGATATCTCTCCAGTAGTGTCCGATTGCCGACCCATCGGACTTTGTGAGTGACGGAATAGGGAGGGCACCTTTGCTTGCACATATACTCTGGTACTTAAATCTGTCCTATGCCAATGGCGAGTTGGCTAGTCTCCGTTGAAACTGGAGGCCGTGACCGAAATTCGGTCTAGAGGACATAACATTATTATTATTTATAGAATGTTGCAAAACTACACTTTTTAAATAAAATAAGTATTAATAATCTATTTTAAGCTTTAACACAAGTGGATAAAAGACAGCTTGTCTTAGTTGAAGACTTATCCATATTTCAGGCTGTAATCCAAGTCAAAGTAGCGGCACCTAAGAAGGAAGTCAAACCAAAAACTGCACCAGCAGCCGGCAAAGGAGACACCAAGGCATCGGCAGGTTCAACTCAGCCCAAGCCTGTGAAACGACCTACCACAGGCACAAAGAAGCCAGCTACGGGTGTTAAAAAAACTGCAGCTAGGGCACAACCCAGCCCGCCAAGAGAACAGGAGTTATCTCCGGAAGAAGTCGATGCTAGAGCAGAGAGATTGTTTGCAGGAGATGTACTTAAAGGTAAAGTACTGTGGTGGCTTAAAAAGTCCCTCTAGTGGGACATACTTCTTTCTTCTTCGAGGATTTGGTAGCAGAGAAAAATGTTTTATTTGAGTTGTTCAATTGCATTTAATATTTTATTTTAAATAGATTAACGCTTTAAGGTTCTAAATATATAAACTAACATGAATATCTTTTTTGAAAAATAAAATGCATGAAAGCAAGTACTTATTTACAATGCAATACAACCAATTTTACCCTATTAAGTTTATGAAAACCAAATAATTTTGTGCCAGGTTTAGAAGATGGCAACTGGAAGAACCGACTTGCAGCTGTCCAAAGCCTCTATTCAACTATACAAGGATTGACTACTGATGACACCTCAGCACAGGTTCTGTATCGCACTCTAAACAAGAAGCCTGGCCTCAAAGATACTAATGTGCAAGTATTAAAAGCCCGCTTAGAAGCTTGCAAGTATATAACGGAAAACTTTCCAATATCCACGTAAGTGTTATTTATATTTTTTAGGTTTCAAATAATTTTATAAGCATTCATTAACCAGATTTTACTTCTATTCCCCCTGATAAGTAAAGGCTTTAAATGCTTATAATTTATTTTCTTGTATTTATTTATATAACGTAATAATAATAGGACTTTTGCTTATGTGCCGCCCAGCTATGTAGATAGTCTCCTTATACCCGTTTCTGCTTCTCCACAGCAGTGCACCCACTATTTTGTTCCACTTGGAATGGTAAGTGCAGCTATAAGTGGCTGCCTAGCCTTCATTTTTTGAAGTTGGTTGCAGATGCTTTCTCTTGTTTTATATAAATACTATCTAATGGTGTATTTACATAAGGTTAGCCTGTTATGAACTTAATTACAGAAAAGCTATTAGATAAAAATATTAAAATGTATATTTTTGTCTAATAGGCTTGCCATCATATAGTGTCAGAGTTAAAGAACCTACTACCCCCATATCGTCCCATGGTTGTTGTAAGAGGTGACAGAGAGAAATGAAACAGGGGATGGGGAGCAGCATCTTCCTGATTTCAACCCAAAAAAAATAAAAAACTGCAATTGCCAACCCACCTTCCAGCGTAAGAACTGGCAACTATGGTATGGTATGGTAAAATCCCCCCTATGAGGCATTCTATGTGGGAGCCCTATGTTTAAAAGTAGGCTTTTGATAAGCTGTAATAAATAAATGTACAAATATATTTTTACAGCATAGCAGCAGACTTCGTACTTCAAGACGTCGTGGCGAAGCTAGGAGAAAGTTCATGTTCAACTGTATCTGCAGAGTGCCTCACTGCTCTTGCTGAAGGATGTGGACTAGAGCACGTTTTGAATGAAGGTTTGACTTACGCCATGGACTTGCAGAAAAACCCGAAAGTCCAGTCGGAAATGTTTAATTGGATGTGTGTCGCTATCAAAGAGTTTGGATTTACGTAAGTACATAGAATAGCAATTTTTAACTTCTTACTTAGCATTCAGTAATCATGAACCGTATTTTTATCCAGTACACAGTACTTACCTTTTCAAAATGTCAATAACAATATTTTACAACTTAACTGTGGTTATTAATCATTTAACATAAAAGATTTTGTTCCTTCGAACCGAAACACTATTTTTATTTCGGTCTAGCGATCCGCGCCGGCTTCGCTCGGGTAATTTCTAGATCTATTCTAGATAACAGCGTCACCTACCGGGTCCACACGTGAATCTAAACCATTTAAGGACCCATTCAAACTTGGGATGGGCGTTGCGACGACGAACCGTTTACAAAGAACCGTTTTGTGTTCTGCGACGATGAAACTGTTTTACGTCCTAGGTTCAAACAGTCTTCGTTGCACAAACCAATCTTCGAATTCCTTGGTGCGATTTTTTATTTTACGCCTATGAAAATACATTCGAGAACGCAATGATTCAATTATCTATCTCACTCGTCTCGTAGTCGTCCTTAACGTTCGGCTTTGGTTCCGCGTTCGTTTACAAACGTAGACAAAGACAAAACAGTCCTTACCCAGTTGTAAGAAACTGCAACCATTTCACTCGACTAAAACGCCATTCTATTCCATGTTGAATAAGTTTTGTCCGTTAAGATTTCTTCAAACCGGTTGCAACGACGACCGTTTTTTGCAACTCTTTTCATCGTCGTGGAAACGGTTGCGTTTCGTCCTTCAAAAATTAAACGACTAATTCAAATGCACACAAAAAATTTCATCATTATCGGTCGAGCAATTTTTTAGTTTTAGCGAGGCTAATGGACAGCAATTGATTTTTATGTATAAAGATTAAGAATAATATTTATTGATATTTATTTTGTTATAGAATGAATGTAAAATCAATCGTCGCACATTCGAAGAAAGCTCTCTCTGCGACAAACCCTAATGTACGAACGTCGACCGTCAACTTTCTTGGAATATTGTCGCTCTATGTTGGCCCATGTTTAATAAACCACTTCGACAGTGAGAAGGCAGCTACTAAACAGTTGATAAGTCTTGAACTGGATAAATATGCTAATAGCACGCCACCAACACCTACACGACAAATAGGACGAGTTAGTAAGGTATTAGTATATTATACTCTAACTAAACTATATATATAACTATATATATTGTTGTGAGCGTCTACAGACCCCCATGTTCTATATACAATACTTTTGAAAAAATTATGGAGGAAGTTTTTGCTAAGCTTAATAAACAGAATAAATCTGTTGTAATATGTGGAGACTTTAATATCAATCTCCTAGAAGCTTACTCAATCAATATTAACACTTTCACTGTCCGCTTTTCAGACACAATAGTAAGACAATAGCAATGACCTATATGTAGTGCACGGGACAGCGAAAGGGTTAAATTTAGATCATTGTTTAAGTCATATGGTCTTTTTAATTTATTTTTAGAGCCAACGCGTATTGCTCAATCTAATGCAACATGTATAGATAACATTTTTACAAATGTGAAGCCGTTGCATAAATTTATAATTCAAAAATTAAGTTCTGATCACTGTGGACAGGTAGTTTCGTTACCTTATGTTCATAAAAAGCAAGTAGATGAGAAAGTTGTGTTTGTTCCAGTAAATGCACGTCGCTTGGAGAAATTTAGAAGTAACATAGTGAAAAAACTTCCATCACTTTCATACCAAAATGATCCAAATTTTTTGTATGGAACATTATTTAAGCTTATTTGCAATGAATTTAATAATACTTTTACTTCTAAAACATTCTCCTTGAACAGTCGAAAGTCATTTAATGTATGGGCGACAGTAGGAGTTCATAAGAGCAGACATAGGTTATATGATCTTTACCATGAAAGGTCATATAATCATAGCGTCGAATTTAGGGAATATGTAAAAAAATATTCAAAAATATTTAAAAGAGTGTGCTCCACAGCCAAATCTTTGCATTTGAGCAACAAAATTAAGACGGCTTCTAATAAAATTAAAATGACATGGAGTATAATTAATAGCGAAACTGGTAAGATCAACTCTCACAATTCAAACTACCAGTTAAGTGTTAGTAACAAATTAACCAAATCAGATCAAGACGTTGCAATGGTTTTTGAGAAGTATTTTACTGATATTCCGATATTAACCACTAAGTCACTGAATTCTTCTCCTGCGGTCGCCGAATCATTACTTAAACAAAATGTAAATGCGTGTACAAAGAATTTTGCATTTCATAAAGTATCATCAAAAGATATTGTAAAATATTTTAAAACTATTGATGTTAAGAAAACTGCAGATCTGTGGGGGATTTCCGTTAAAGTTATTGCGTCTATAATAGATACAATCGCGCCTCGTTTAGCTATTATTTTTAATACTAGTATCGAATCTGGTGTGTTTCCTGATTTAATGAAGTATAGTAAAGTAATACCTTTATTTAAATCTGGTAGTACATTAGACCCCGCCAATTTTAGACCTATTTCTGTACTACCAACACTTAGTAAGATTTTTGAAAAAATTATTCTTGATCAAATGTTAAATTTCTTTAATATAAATAATTTACTTCATAAAAATCAATTTGGTTTCACAAGGGGTCGCACGACAACTGATGCCGGTGTTGAGCTGATTAAATATATATTTAATGCATGGGAGAATTCACAGGATACTTTGGGTATATTTTGTGACCTATCCAAAGCCTTCGATTGTGTTCACCATGAAACATTAATCAGGAAACTTCAACACTACGGTGTAAGAAGTGATGCTCTTAAATTAATTATTTCATATTTAAGTAAGAGAACGCAAAAAGTTGTCATTAACGGTATGAGTTCTTCCGGGTCGATGGTACAAATGGGCGTGCCTCAAGGCTCAATTCTCGGCCCCTTTCTGTTTCTTGTATACATTAATGACTTACCTTACATAGTAGGAGATAACCATGATATAGTATTATTTGCAGATGACACTTCTTTAATTTTCAAATTAAGTCGACAATTGCTAAAATATGACGAAGTAAATAATGCTATATCTAAATTAGTAAATTGATTCAATGTTAATAATTTGCATTTAAATGGCACTAAAACGAAATGTATGAAATTTATGACTCCAAATGTCAAACAATTAAATGTTAATGTAATTTTAAATGGGGAGAAACTGAGTCTTGTAGATACCACCATTTTTCTTGAAACCACCCTAGACGCGAAGCTTCAATGGAGCCCCCATGTATCAAAACTAGCAAGCAGACTTAGTTCTGCAGCATATGCCGTAAAAAAGATTAGAAGTCTAACTAGTGTTGAAACAGCTAGACTAGTTTACTTTAGCTATTTCCATAGCATAATGTCGTATTGTATTTTGCTATGGGGACACGCAGCTGACACTGAAATTATATTTGTTTTACAGAAGAGGGCCATAAGAGCAATTTATGATTTAAAGCCTAAAGAGTCGCTGCGACAAAAATTTAAGGAAATTAATATATTAACTTTGGCCTCTCAATACATTTATGAAAATGTAATGTACGTACACAAAAATAAAAGTAGTTTTACAAAAATAAGTGATATTCATTCTGTAAATACTAGGAACAGACACAAGCTAGTAGTACCAGTTACTCGACTCCATCGAGTCAGTAATTCATTCTTGGGTCGATGTATACGCTTTTACAACAAAATTCCAGAAAATATACAAAATTTGACCTGCTCAAAGTTCAAAAACTTTATTAAACTAAGTTTGTATAAAAAGGGTTATTATAATATTAATGAATTTATAGATGATAATAACCCCTGGAAATAAGGTGATCGCTACCAAGCTATTTCTAATTTATTGTGTTGTTAATTTGTGTAACATACATGATTGTAAGCTGTTATTTAAAAAAAAAGTCCCGCTGGGTTTCTTGCTGGTTCTTCCCAGGACAGAGGTTTTTTTTTTTCGAACCAGTGGTAATCATACAAAAGAGTGACTTTCAATAAGTATTATTTATAATCTATATTGAATAAAAAAGTTTCTGTTTCTATACTAATATTACACACACAAGTAAATTAATTCAGTCCAGTTTTATAAGTAATGAAAAACTGTATATTATGCGAATTTGTAATCATGTCAAGTCCACTGCTAAACATGGGGCTCTCATATTAATAGAATTCGTCCATCTCGAGAGTCAGATTAGCGATCGCTACATTCTCCATCGGCGTCTAAGAAAGAGATGTCTTGCCAACATGGTGAAAACTGCAAATCTTCCAGGTTTACATGTAATCTGTGTCCATTAAATTGGCATTACTATCTTTTAATAATACTTAATAGTACATTATAACTTTCAGTCCGCAAGTAAAGCTTCAGTGGGTGACGAATTGGAAGAAGGATGTGAGGACGCTATAGAAGAGGAACCTGCTGTGGTGGATGACAATAGACCGCGTACCGACATCGCTCCACTCATTACCGATGCGCTTATAGGTGAAATAAATGATAAAAACTGGAAGGTATGTATAAAGAAAAAATCATAGTTTGTATAGTTCTTACAGATTCACAGTTAGGACTAAATTCGAAGTTTAGTGTTCAATCATGTAATTTACTAAGTTAAAAGGTTGAATAAAAATGAGCAGAGAAAGAAACAAGAAGGGAAAAGTTCTTATGTTTATTACATTTCATTTCTCACCATCAGATAAGGTTTTTAAGAAATTCAAAAAGGAGCAATTTATTTGTTTTCATAAAGCATGTTATTACTGAGGAGCGGTTCCATATAAATTTCAACTAGATATAATTTTTAAAACAACATAATTACATATTCCAGGTGCGTAATGCAGCTCTTGACAAATTAAAAGCTATTATCACTACATCGTCCCCTATCAAGGCAACTCTAGGCGAGTTACCAGCAGCTTTAGCTGCAAGGTTGGTGGACTCGAACTCAAAACTCGCCCAGAGCGCGCTGCATATCTGTGAATCTCTTGCTGTTGCAATGGGCCCAAAGTCAAAACAACATGTGCGCACATTCTTCCCATCATTTTTTCAAGGTGAGTCTTAGTTACATTTACTTTAATACAAAGGCAAAAGTACAACAGTTTTAAACATTTCCAAGGGTATTTGTGATCATTAAACAAATCCATTAATTAAATATCATTTAACTACACTAACTGACGATGTATTACATCAGGCAACCTTACTCCTTTTCATATTTCGAAAGTGATGGCATCAACTAGGCTTTAATTAACTTTGCCTTTGAATCAAATTATGTGTTGGTATCAGGGGAATCCTGACGTGTGGCAGTGACAGGATGCTGGGTGGTGGATAATGGAATCCATTACAACATTTTGTCCCGTGGCAGTGATAAGAAGTAAAGCTATGAAAAAATATGGTGTCCAATAAATGTTGATACATCCAACTCATACTGACAGTCGGAGCAATGTTGAAAGTGCAGGGACGTATGCTACAACAATAGCCAATTTGTCTACTATAGGAATAGTATATGTCCAGCGTTGTACTTTTATAGGCTGACCTACCTAAAGAGATGGTTCTAACAGTTCTAAAGATGCTGGATATCACAATTTAAATTCAGTTTTTATTTTAGACTTATGAGGCCGATCTGCCTTTGTTTTGTTGGAGATTGTATGTTGGAGAAATGTAGAAGCATTGTTTTTTTATGCCATGCATTTTTTCAGCCTTTGGTGATAGTAAACAATGGATCCGATCGGCTGCCGTGTCGTGCGTGGAAACGTGGTGTCGCGAAGCGGGCCCTCAGACGCCCTTCGAGGGCGAAATGATATACGACGCCTTAAAATCTGGCTCCCCTGTACTGAGAGCGACCTTGTTGCAGTGGTTAGCCGATCACCTTCCTAATGGTATGAAATTGATGTGTATTGTTTTTGTTTTTTGATTACCTACGTAACATGGAGCTAAGCTACTCAGGTGATATAATATTATAAGAAGATTGAAAGCGGGTCTCTTACTCTACTTTACTTTAAGAGATCTCTCAACTCTTAAGAAATTATGAATATTGTTTAATGTTTCTTGGTTAAGAATGTTGAAAATTATTCTTCATATTGGAAAAATATAAATGATAATAAAATAGTGTCAGAACAAAATATGTCTGCAGCAACATAATTTTAATATTTATTAAAATTAGTTTTATCCATTTATATAGAGGTTAGACATGTAAAATTAATCTAGATTGGAAATAGTTTTTGGAGCTTATTTATTTCAACATTATGTGTTCGTTTTCGATATTCTAGAGTTCTAATTGCTTTGGCCGAATATTTCCCCTATGCTGTGTCCCTATTTATTCAGGAAATAGAAACAAAATTTATTTACTACATTAATTTCAATCAGTGATTAATTTCGATTAATTCCGATCATATTAGAAAGCCAGTTTGTCTCTGTTTATTACATTTAATTACACTACTATGAATCAGATATTAGTAACAAAATAATGCTACTGTTATTTTAATATAGTGAAATTTTACTTCTTTAAACATTGCTAAAATGAATAGCTATGATGAACCAAACTACAAAGCGATAAGAATTTTATGTGTGAACGATAATAAGTAAGAAATACCTTGTAACAATGGTAGAGCCACGCGGCAGCTTTTGCTGTAGCACATATGGGCCAATTACGACCGGGAAGTATGAGCCGGCCCAATAGCCCTGCTACGCTATCTGTGAATTTCTGCAACCACAAGAGACTTCACTCGAACCTAAACGTCATCCACTACCATCTGGAGGCAGCCAAACCGGCCTTACTATTTCTGACTGAGAAGCTTCTCTCCTACCCGGAGCAAATTGGAACACTCCTTTGTGTCTCGGGCTGGAGTTTGCATATACGTCAGAGAGGACATCTGTTCTCGACGCCTCGGCGGTCTTGAAGGTTCGAACCTGTCCATCCTTTGGCTGCACGACAGCGACGACTATCCGCGCGATTACGCGCCTCTGTAGGTCCCATAGCGACAATGCCGACACAGATCGACTCATTGATCACGTCTAAAAATGGCTACGGATTCCTTGCTACAGCAGATGTAGAGATCGTGATCCCTGGCGATTTTAACACCATAGCTCGGTTTACGTTTAACCGATCATGCGGGGAGATTTGTTTATGACTTTCTTGGAATATGGTCTGACACAATTGGTTTTCGCCTACGTGGATTTGGAGGAATTGGAGGATCATGCACCTTCCCTGTTGGACCTTCTGCTGACCTCTCATCCGGTCGGATATCAGGTCTCCGTCGACTTCCCTTGTGGCTCCTCGGACAATTGTCTAGTTCGGAGTGTGGTGCCACTGCTGCCGTGTTTGGCACCTATAGGTCGGACGATTGGGATAGGATGCGGTCTGTTTTTGCATCCATCCTTTGTGGTGCCCATGGGAGGCAGATCCCAGCCCTGGTTTATTCGCTCCTGTAAAATAGCATTACACTATAAGCAGGAGTGCTACCGGGCCTGGGCTGACGCATCAACGTCCCAGGATTTAAACACCAGCGTTCTTAGTAATAGTATAATTTCGCCTCCAAGTCCTTCAAAAGAGTCATTACCAAGGCAAAGTCAGAGCACATCTGCAGGATTGTCGAGTCGTTTTAATACAATTTCGGATTGGGTGCTACTAAATCTAGTCCAGTTCAATCCCTAGAAGACACAAGTTTGCGCGTTTACCACTAAAAATACCTCCTTTGTCGTATCTCTTCAGTTTCAGGGCACTCCCCTTGTTACCTCAGCCAGTATCGGAATCCTCGACGTCGACATATCGAATGACGTGCAGTTTCGTGTTCAATTGGAAGAGATAGCCAAATAGCCTCTAAAAAGCATGACGTGCTCAGCAGAAGCGGGACAATATTTCATGCCGGCACACTGCTTGCAACTTTACAAGGCGCAAGTTCCGCCTCACATGGAATACTGTTCTCATCTCTAGGCCGGGATACCCCAGTGCCAACTCCTTCCACTTGACCGCATCCAGCGCAGAGCGGCTCGAATCGTCGATGACCGTGTTCTTTCAGATCGGCTCGATTCACTGGCGTTTAGAAGAGATGTTGCATCCCTTTGCATTTTCTATCGCAACTACCACGGGGAGTGCTCTGAGGAATTGTCCGGATTAATTCCAGCCTCACAATACCATGCACACCATCTGGATGCTTGGTGGTCCACCACTGTGTGTTTTACTAGGAGTTTTCTTCCTCGTACAATCTCTCTGTGGAATCGTTTACCACTGGCGATGTATCCGGACCGATGCGACTTAGGGACCTTCAAGAAAAGCTTAGTCCTTTCTAAAATTCCGGCAACGCACCCGAAATTCCCCTGGTGTTGCAGTTGTTCATGGGCGGTGGTAGTCACTTACTATCAGGTGAACCGTATGCTCGTTTACCCCTCTTCTATAAAAAAAAACCTAATAATCACTTATATTTAACAAAAATGCCTGTTCGCCAGAGCCTCATTCGTCAACTAGTTGATCATGCAACCTAACTGCATTTGTAATTACTACGAACAGATGCAGACCATTAGAAACAGCTGATCCTATTCTTGGTCTTGTTAAGATGGAACATATGGTCTGTTCTCAGCCATTTTCCCGCGAGATGGCGCTGAAGTCATCATTTTTAGATTATTTGGGTTTTTGTGTAATTGGAACATTATTAAGTCGTAGAAGTAGCTACCACGGTCTTCGAACATTACACTTTATTGTACTAGGTCATATCATTGCCTCAAAATCTAAAATATGATTTTTTTAAAATCTTTTTTATACCTATATTTTTAAAATAATGTCCATTATCCGAATTCACGAAATTATGAATTCCTGAAATCCCTAAACAATAACATGTTTCTGAATCCTGTATAGTTATAGAATGATAATTTACTGTGTCAGTGGCACCGAAATCGTTTGGGCGTGAGGAGCTGTCTGTGTGCGTGCCGCTGCTGTTCGCGTGCCTGGAAGACCGCGCGGCCGACGTGCGCAAGGCGGCCGCAGACTGCGTGCTGCCCTTCATGCTGCACCTCGGCTACGAGTCCATGCACAAGCTCCTCGACAAGCTCAAGGTAAACCCTACCTCCCAAACACGCACATATTATTATAGTATCTACATACAAACGCACATACAAATCACACACACCCACACACAACGCGCACGCACACTCACATACAATGCACGCACGCGCGCGCACACACACACACACACACACACACACACACACACACACACGCACGCACGCACGCACGCACGCACGCACGCACACGCACATACAATGCACACAGGCAATCACGTACATATTAAACTAACATCAACACCAAACTTCAAACACTACTTTCTCGTACTTCTCATCAGCTTTTAAATAGTCAATTTTTGGTCATGAGCCTCTGACAAAGTTGGTATGACTTGCCGTAATCGTCGCGCTTGGAAGGCGAATTTCCGGTTCAGCTATAAATACCATTATTGTCACTCACTACATGGAGTACATATTCAAGAGTTCAATGTCTCAAAAAATACTGACTTAATGTGCCAGCAAAGAAAATTATAATTCATTTAAATCACTTCACATCTGAAAATGTAACAACTTATTTCATTATATTAATAATTACACACCAATAATATCCCGGTGTGTTTTAAAGGTTCTTCACTGCTACTGTTCGCGCCAAACGCTAATTTCAGGAACTAACGCGAGAGGGCGCGCGCCTCGGTGCCATACCGGTTTTGCCGAAGTAAATAAAAGTCAATTCTCCTTTGGTTTACATTTGGTTGGCACTGTCTAAGTTATTTAAATGAGAAGTTGGGCTGTCCCTTACGTTTATTGTTTTGTTTAATTTGCAAGTTGACCTATGTGCATCAGTGATTAATTTGTTTGAATTAATTCTATAGTTGGACATTGATGCTTTGAAAAATTAGTTGAAATATGAGCATAGGACTACTTGTCTAACAGGCTGGCTAGTTTGTAGATTATCAGATGAAATCAGCTGTCGCGCCATTTGGTAAATGATTATATGGTGGATGGCTTGGCTATGCCTACTTGTTTGAAAATTCATACTAGGGACTATCTGTGCGTTCGTTCGGCTCTCCACAGACGTCGTTCATGGGGAATTTGGGGGTGCTCTCTGCACTGAAGCTTAGGAGGTCACTCTGGGCCGCTTCGTGTCGCGTCGCTGTTTGCAGACCCGATCCGGTCGGATTGCGGAACTAATCATAGGAGCACAGATAGGTGTTTGAAGGAGGTCGTCGGACTTCTGTCTAGGAATAGGACTTATTTATGGGCTGCGATGTCCAGGAAGGGCATCCAGTTCAACCCTCCGGCTTGCCCACGTTGGGGCTGTAATTTTGAGGCGTTGGTTAGGGTTGCAAGATCTGGTGGGGTGCCTAAGGTGGCCTAGTTTTGGTGTAGATTCGGTCTTGCAACGTGCCGTCGCGACCCTGTCCAGCTTGCCGGTTTGCTCGCGGACATAGGTCCTTATGTCCGGGACGGGGGTTTGTTCGCGCCAAAAGAGGGCGCGCGGCTCGGTGCCATATCGGTTTTGACCTCGGTCGAGCGGCGGGTGTTGAGAACGCGTAAAGGCGAAAGCAGTCGTCTGCCAGCTGTGCTAACGATAGCACACTGTCATTTTTGTTCGGGAACCGCGGAATAGTTTAGGCGTCTAGTAAACATCCTGTCTAGGATTTATAACGCGCATTCCTTGTTGGATAGCCTTTCCCGGGACTTATTGGGTCCGACTCAGAATCTGTATAAGTGCATTCGACAATATTAGCTAGTACGGCCTTTGATATTCTAGAAATAACTGTTACTACGCGAAACGGTAGTGACCTTTGATCCGGACACTCCGTGTTCGTTTTGTGCGTTAACCTTACAACAAACGAGAGTTAGTGGCTTCTGTAAGTTAGTTAATCGTACGATAGAGCTAATGGACTGTCATCGTGACGAACGAGGAAAGTGACTGTGGACAACGCCGCGGTAGATTATCTCATTTTGGAGCAGCCTGGAACTCTGCCGCTGCTGGTCGCCTATGCTTGCCAAGGCCCCACACATTCACACCTCACTGTACACTACTCGCCATCCACTATTACACACACTCACGGCCTGCCCAAGCCTTGGTGCGAAGTTAGCTCCGGATAATGGTAAGTACTATGTGTTTCTAGCTTCCTCCCATATAGTTTATTGTGATAGGAAATTCCAACGCTCCCCCTTATTGTTTAGTGTAACTAGAGATTTTCCACGTGGCCATATTCTGGCCCCGTCCCTCTGCTGCTCGTCGATGGGATTACTCATGGGCCCTAATCCCGTCATCCTTGGTTGGGGCAGCTAGGGGCGTGTACAGCTACTATAGGTATTTCGCGCTCTTCAAAATGACCCTACAGAAAATTACTGCTGTTGAATTATCATTATATATTATATTTCTTTATTTATGAAAAGGAATTTATTTGATATATTATTCATTTACTTCTTAAAATAAATAATGAATTGTATTAACGATATCTGTGGCAGCAATTTGAAGATTTATTTAAATGATATAATTATAATTTGTTGCAGCCTGGCTCAAAAACAGTTGTTCAAGCAGCTCTAGATAAAGCAAGACCCAACCTTCCTGTTCAACCTTTACCAGCTAAAGCCAAAAAAGATGAACCAAAAGGAGTCAAATCAGGAGGCGGACTTAAGAAAGATGTCGAGAAAAAAGTCTCACAGCCCGTTAAAGGAAAGGTAACATAAAAAGTTCATACGAAATTATACAAATTACATAAGATTTTATATTATACAAATTTTATAAGATTGTATTTTATATATTTATTTAACAAAATAATGCATTATACAAATTTTATAAGATTGTATTTTATAGACGTGTTTAATACAATAATATATTATACAATTTATAAGATTGTATTTTATAGATGTGTTTAACGCAATAATACATTATACAAAATGGGAACATTTTTGTATTTAAAACTCCTTTATTGTAAGAAAATAACATTTTCCAACTAAAACAAAATCTGATAATAATAAATGTCGTGTTGAATATTTTATTTGATAAAATAAAAGTCTTAAAACCTAATTAGTGTTTAATTATTTGTTTTGCAGGGCCCTGTTAAACCTTCTTCAGCATCTAGTCGGGGAAAGAAAGAAGATGAAGACTGTACTCCATTACTACCTAACAATAACTCCAAAAACCAAAGAATCATTGACGACCAGAAGTTAAAGGGTATCTATCCTCAAAATTTCTAAACATTCTTATCTATATCATCTTTATTGTATAATATTATGCCATTTATAACACTTTTGTACTACCTATAAAAATACATCTTGAAAATCATTTTTAGCCTTTGTTCAGAAGTAGACAGTGACATACCGTACAGTATATTATTTATAAGTACATTGTGAGGGGTTCAAAGTGAAATCCTTCTCAAGAATCACTTTCAGCCTTTGTTCAGAAGTAGGCAATGATAGAATTTACACAATTTTGCTTTTGCGATCTTTTTTAGTTACAATTACAATAATAGCATACATATAAGACATAAGTAGCTATTGCAGTTAATGGACAGTCACAGGCTACAGGAGAGTTGTCATCCCTTTGGATTTTAAACGTTTTATTCCCTGTAATTAAACTGACTCTATTAACTCTCTAAACTTAACTAAATTCTTGTAAAACTTCAACTAAAATGCAACATTCTGTGAACTGTAATTTGTTGCTTTTCGGTTGCTTTTCTTTTTCGATTCCTCATCCTCATTACAGCCTATCCATTGCTGAACATATGCCTCCATCAAGGACGTCCCCAAAGCATGGTCGTGGGCCAACCTGCATCCATTGAGTTTTTGCATCTCTTACCAGTTTTTTACTATATATCTAGTGTGGGAGTACCCTACACTTGGCTTTATGGTTAACTGAAAAATATTTTTTTGTTAGTAACGAACTTATAAAAGAAGTTTTTAAAATTTAAATTATATTTAGTTTTAACATAATAATTGGTTTTAGTTTTGAAATGGAACTTTACGACTCCACGGGAGGAATTCTTTGACTTGTTGAAGGAACAAATGACGAGTGCTGGTCTCAATAAGCAGCTCATCGCCAACATGTTCCACAGTGACTTCAGGTATGACTAAACACTATCATTAGCTTTAATAAAGAAGTAACACTAATTTTGTTTATAAATTATTGTTTTTCTCTCTTTTTAGCATTATGTTTATTTGCTACTAAACAAAATTTATTTATTATTTATTCCACATAGATATCATTTGAAAGCAATTGAAGCTCTATCTGAGGATCTTCATGAGAATGGTCCGGCACTTATGGCTAACCTGGACCTTGTTCTCAAGTGGTTGACACTACGCTTCTTCGACACAAACCCTTCCGTCATATTGAAGGGACTTGAATACCTTTCTTTGGTTTTTCAATACCTCATGGATAATGACTACACTATGGCCGAGTATGAGGCTAATTGCTTTATTCCGTACCTTGTGCTTAAGGTTAGTGACTTAGTGATATTAATTTTAGAAATCATTAGTATTTTTTACGTAATCCTTTTTACATAATCGCTAAAATTGTAATTACAGGTTGGAGACCCAAAGGATACTGTTCGTAACGGCGTAAAGGCTTTATTCCGACAGATTTGCGTAGTTTATTCCGTGACAAAGTTATTTGGATACCTAATGGAAGGGCTAAAGTCGAAAAATGCAAGACAGCGAGCTGGTAAGTCCAGTCCGATATATTTTAAGCAAACTTTAAACTGAAGATGTTTCGATAAAACAGTAGTTTTGGGGTCATAGACTCCAAACTATGTAAATATGTCTGTAAAAAACTCAAAATACAATCAATCATTATTGCTTATATTTACTTATGTTTTAAACTTTAAACATCTTAGTTCTTTGTAAAAAATATGTAAATAACAGTCTAATCATTAAAGTGAATAATATTATTAATATTAATATATTTATCAAAATTATTTGCTTCTTTTAAATACATACTGCAAAAATATTATAATAGAATATAGGTATAACTCGTAAAAGCATCGTATTACTAAGGTACCCTTATTTTCGACTTATGCGCAATAACGGTCACCGCTAGACTTACGTGCCGGGACTTATAATGGCATGACTTGATCGATCAGTAAGTAGTACAGTGACTAAGGATTCGGTTACGACGTTGCGGGGTTCGTGTTTTCGAATCCCACACAGAAGCTGCAAATATTTTTTCCAGGTCTGGATGTTTGTCAGCGTGCTATGTATGTACACCAAGATACAGGGGAATATGCTAGAGATAGCGTCTTTAAAAGAAAACAAAAGGTAGTGCTTTTCATTTGCACAAGCAGAGCTATTCATCTTTTATAAGACTCAAGATAGTATTCAATATGACCTTTGGGCTTAGTAAGAAATAACTCTTAAGTTTTATGTTATGAGTAATTTAATTAATTTTTTTTGTACTTGGAAGAGCCATGCTGCAGTTATATTAGTAGTGTAGTTGTAGCACAAATGGGTCGGCTCGATCGAGGAAGGACCACGCTCTCACAGAATACCAGCTTAAAATAGCAGCTTAACACTGCTGTGTTTGTATGATGAGTGTAAAGAACCGGAGACCCTTTTTACTGGGAATGAGGCATTTCATCTTAGTCCTCATGGGTGGCAACGCATCGTAATCGAGGATAGATGTAAATGTCTATGGGCCACAGTATCCATTTACCATCAGGTGAACTGTGTGCTTGTTTGTCACCCTTGTCCTGTAAAAAAAAAATTATTCATAGAGTTACAGCCTTTCAGAGAGAGGAGCAATCAGTCCACCCTATTACTTCGGTGGGGGGAAGACTTCAGATGTCTTTGACTATATTTTATTTCTAAAATATGTGGCTTTGCTATTGAGCAAATACGTTTTCCTGTACTGATATACCGAGCCCATGGTATATCAGTCCTTAAAATAGTCACAGACTCAGTAATTTATTTTAGGAGCAATGTATACGTTATTACAACAAAGTTCGAGAAAATATACAAGGTCTCCCTATTATGAAGTCTTAATATTTTATAAAATAAATAAAGAGGGTTATTATAATATAAATGAATACTTGGTTGATAAGAACGCTCGGGAATGAGTTGGTCGCTTCCAAGCTGGTTCTAAAATAAATTTTGTAAATATATGTAAATAGTTTGTACAATCTTTCAGATTGTATAATTTACTTTAAAAAATCCCGCTGGGTTTCTTGCTGTTTTTTCGAATCAGTATTAAAGTAAAAAATTACTCCCAATAAAAATTACATGTAATCTATATTGAATCACAATTATTTTGTTGTATTCCATAGCCGCCTATCGATTATGCGCTCCAAGAGGTCGAACATTAGCGCGCGTTTCAGCCACATGAAATGGATACCGCCTTGGAACACCCGCTAAATTGTTCGTTGGAACACTCAAAGGTGGAGCGGGCTGTTCCATCTGGTGTCGGTTTTTACCGCGTATCAAAGTAGTTAAGTTTTGGCGTGTACGCCGATTGAGACGGTGGTTATCATCATTCGTGTGTTCGTTGGATAACCAAAGTTGCCCTAAATTGATATAATTATATGGTTCAAAAGAACTGCTGTGGAGTAGAAAAAGTCGTTTTTATTATAATAAAGCGTTCAGAGAAGATGCATGGAATTATGAAAGCGGCAGCTGCTCGTACACGAACGACGTTCATGTTGAACGGTCAAACACTGGAACAGCTGGCGCGCGCTCCAGGCGCGTTTATTGATGTACTTGGAACATTTGGAACGCGTTCCGCAGAACGCACTGGTCGGCGCGGTCATTAATTTATTGCGCGCCAGGAGCGCGTAATCGATATGCGGCTTAAGTATTGTTGATAAGTGAGTGAGGAGTCGCTGTGCGGGTGTGTGGGTGTGTGTGCGCAGAGTGCCTGGAGTGCATCGGGCACCTGGTGGAGACGTACGGGTCGACGGTGATGGCGGGCGGCTGCGGCGCGGCGCTGCGCGAGCTGGCGCGCCACATCGGCGACCGCGACAACGCCGTGCGCTCCGCCGCGCTCAACGCCGTCGCCGCCACCTACTTCCTCGAGGGCGAGAAGGTCTACAAGATGATCGGACAGGTGCATACCTCTTCACACATTTTATTTGGATCTGAGAAAGTCGTATTGCATGCCTTAAGCGCAAAGCGCGTAGGTATGTTTTACTAGCGCCTAAAAATCAAGATTCCAACGTTTTGTCGCATAAAATCGTATCTAACAATCATATTGAACATATAAATAATATAAAAAGTACATTGTCAGAAAGATAAATGATTGTTGAACTAATTAATATTTTTTTAAATTTATTAATTGCTATTTTTACATAACAAAAGTGTTCAAGTCCGCATGGAGTAGTAAACACGATAACTTTTGAAAATATCAATTGTTTAACTCAATCTATTTTATAATCTCTTCATCTATCATGTTTTAGTTTTTTAGTTTTTCTTTTTTAACGTTAACCCCGCACTAGGATTTTCTCCTGTATCGTGGAGGCGGTTTACAAACACAAATTGCACAAGGACAAACATCCAGACCTAGAACAATTATTTGCAAGCCATACAAATACTTGTTCCGTGCAAGATTCGAACCCGTGGCCCCCAGTGCAGCAACTCATTGCTAAGCCACTGCGCCACGGAGCCGTCAAAAGTGTCTGGGAAGATGGAAAGCCATGAAATGTAAATGGCAGTTTAATTTTGTTTTGTTCATTTATAATTAATTTTATTCGGCTGCGAAATGTCGAAATTTTCGATGTTTTAGCATTAATTATTAGTATTAATTTATTTTACTAGTCCTTCAAAAGAGTTATTGCCAAGGCAAAGTCAGAGCACATAGGCAGAATTGGCGAGAAACTAGTTCGCCTTCCTTCGGGAACCCGTGCATTCTGGTCTCTCGCCAAGGCTGTCCAAGGGAATTTCTGTAAGCCATCACTACCATCTCTGCACAGGGAGGATGACTCACTGGCCCATGACGCAAAAGACAAAGCCGACCTTTTAGGCTCCCTTTTTGCGTCCAACTCGACTCTTGATGACGGGGGGAAAACACCGCCGACCATCCCGCGGTGTGAGTGCTCCATGCCGGATGTGCTGTTCTCACAGCGCTCGGTTCGCAAAGCACTGCTCTCCCTGGACATCCAGAAGTCGAGTGGGCCTGACGGAATCCCCCCAATTGTGCTGAGGACGTGTGCTCCGGAGTTGGCACCGGTCCTAACGCGTCTTTTCCGGTACTCCTACTCCCAAGGCGTAGTCCCGAATTCATGGAAGACAGCTTTTGTCCACCCGATCCCTAAAAAAGGCGACCGCTCAGACCCGTCCAACTATAGGCCTATCGCGATCACCTCCTTGTTCTCCAAAATAATGGAATCCATTATTAACTGCCAGCTCATCCGGTACCTTGAGGATCACCAGCTGATTAGTGACCGCCAATACGGTTTTCGTCGGTGTCGATCAGCTGGTGATCTTCTTGTCTACCTGACCCATAGATGGGCGGAGGCAGTAGAGTCCAAGGGGGAGGCGTTGGCTGTTAGTCTGGACATTGCGAAGGCCTTTGATCGGGTTTGGCACAAAGCGCTTCTTTCAAAGCTGCCTTCCTATGGGCTTCCCGAGAAATTGTGCAATTGGATCACCAGCTTTCTTGCAGATCGGAGCATCAAGGTCGTTGTAGACGGTGCATGTTCTGACTACAAGCCTATTAACGCTGGTGTTCCACAAGGCTGTGTGCTATCACCAACGCTGTTTCTTCTGCATATCAATGATATGTTGCTAACTGGTAACATTCATTGCTATGCGGATGACAGCACTGGTGATGCTCTATACACCGGCCGGGCCAATATTTCTCGGGAAAACGTCGCCGAGTACCGGAACAAACTTGTGTCTGAAGTCGAGTCTTTGCTGGACAAAGTCTCGGATTGGGGGCGACTAAATCTAGTCCAGTTTAATCCTCAGAAGACACAAGTTTGCGCGTTTACCGCTAAAAAGAACCCCTTTGTCGTATCTCCTCAGTTTCAAGGCACTCCCCTTCTTGCCTCAGCCAGTATCGGTATCCTCGGAGTCGACATATCGAGTGACGTGCAGTTTCGTGGTCACTTGGAAGAGAAGGCCAAATTGGCCTCTAAAAAGCTTGGCGTGCTCAGCAGAGCGGGACAGTATTTCATGCCGGCACACCGCCTACAACTTTACAAGGCGCAGGTTCGGCCTCACATGGAATACTGTTCCCATCTCTGGGCAGGGGCTCCCCAGTGCCAGCTCCTTCCACTTGACCGCATCCAGCGCAGAGCGGCTCGAATCGTCGACGACCGAGCCCTTTCCGATCGGCTCGATTCATTGGCACTGCGAAGAGATGTTGCATCTCTTTGCATTTTCTTTCGCATCTACCATGGGGAGTGCTCTGAGGAATTGTTCGGATTAATCCCAGCCGCCAAATTTCACGAACGCACATCGCGGCAGAACTCCCGATACCATCCACACCATCTGGATGATTGGCGGTCCACCACTGTGCGATTTAGAAGATGTTTTCTTCCTCGCACAACTACCTTGTGGAATAGTTTACCACCAGGGATTTTTCCGGACCGATACGACTTAGGGACCTTCAAGAAAAGAGCCTACTCCTTTTTAAAAGGCCGGCAACGCATCTGCAATTCCCCTGGTGTTGCGGTTGTTCATGGGCGGCGGTAGTCACTTACCATCAGGTGAGCTGCATGCTCGTTTGCCCCCTCTCCTATAAAAAAAAAAAATAGACTGCCTCACTCACTCACTTGTCACTTCGGCGTCAACCGCCGTCGTGAGTGGATACTGTATCGATTGTTTGCAGCAGTTCAAAAAGATCGCTGTACAAATACAAAATATTCGAAAAACGAAATTTCTTACATAATATTATAATTATTATTAATATATTAAATATTTATTATATTATATTAATTATTATTATAATAATTAGAGATTTTTATAACGATATTTTAAAATCACAGAATAAATAATAGTAGTACATACTAAAAGTAAGTAGGATGTAATATTTATACTTAAATACGTTTTGGACATTATGGAGCGACCTGAATGATGATATGATGATCATTATGAGTTGTGCACTTTTGGATTTCCAATTTTTTTTTTTAAATTGAAGTTTGACATAAAATTATCGGAAAATTGGAAGTATAATAACGTTATTAGTGAAAACTTGTGTGTATTTAAACTACTTTAAAAAAAATCCGTATAATCATGTTGTACGTAATTTTTTTAATGCGCTTAGGGTATGCACAATTGGATTTACCAATAGTTTATATGTATTATGAATAATGAGATACAAATAGTATGTAAGTTTTTTTTATATGATAATATAAATTTATTTTCATCTTCACCCCATGATAATAATGTCCTCCAGACCGAGTTTTGGTCACGGCGACCAGTTTCAGAGACTAGCAGCCATCTACGCAGGACAGGATTATAGTACCCGAACACAAGCACAGATGCACTCTTTTTTCCTCACTGTCATAATCGGGACAGTTATCTGACACTACCAGAGAGAGATCAGGTGCAGAACTTTACGTCCTTTCCGAGGCACAGGGTGGAACACCGGCAACTTCCTGACTCAGGGTTGCTATTGAGAATTTATTTATCTATACATATAATAAAACTGTAAATAGCAGATGTCTGTACATTTTATATTTTTGTAATAAAAGTGATTGAGGGGTACTAAAAATAAGTAATTAAATACATTTCTACCATTTTTAGAATTTTCTGTCTGTCTGTCTGTCTGTCTGTTTGTTTGTTAACGTATCACGTATAAAGTACTAATTTATATCATAAGAATTGTTAAGGAAATTATAAAGTGTATCTTCGGGTTACATTTAGTCTTTATTTCATTAAAATCAGTTCATTCTATCAAAAGTTATGATAAATATTCTGAAGTATGGGTAGGGAAGTATAGGTACGAATTTGCTCAACGGTGGCTTTGTTTGAGTCATCAAGTGCATTTTAAACTAATATCATATCATAAATCATAGTTAAATTATGTAAAATAATGATATAATTATGTATATCTAAAACGCAGTAAACAAAAGTATTAAAGAACGTATTAAATATTAACAAAATTATACAAAAATATATTAACCTTATTAACTAAATCTGAAGCACAATAGTTAACCCATTTCTTCGATAGATGGTGGTGTTGTGAAAATGTAATGCAATTGCAATGTGGTTTTATCCTGTAGATGAGTTTTCATATTTACTGCTAATCTTTATTATATTACTCGCTGCCCTTTTGCGTGTTGACAAACTCAATTTATTCTTTACCGCCGAGTACTCTATGTGGTAAATCACATTTTAAAAGAGCTATTAACAATTGCGTTGGTTTTGGCGAGAGTCAAACTTTACTTTTTGCTTACTATGCAGGCACTGATTTATAAGTTCTCTTGCGTTTTATATAATGTATCAATCGCGTCAATTAATCTCATTTATTTTTAGAATTGATGTTAGCAGCGCCATCTCTCTTTAAATATATACATATAATAAAAATGACGATAACATGTTGTGTCTCTTTCTGTACATTATATATATATATATATATATATATATATATATATATATATATATATATATATATATATTGGTGGCTAAAATCATTATGGGGAACTGAAAATAATTAAATAAGAACATTTTATAATTTTTAGAATTGTCTGTCTGTCTATTTGTCTGTTATTATATGAACGCATCACGTCTAAAGTAAACATCTTTTATTTTCAAAGAAATCGTTAAGAAAACCATAAAGCGTATCTTCGAGTTACATTTAATCTTTGTTTTATTAAAATTGGTTAATTCTATCGAAAGTAATGATTATTATTTTGAAATGTAGGTTCGAATTTGTTCAATGGCGCCATAAAATCTCAGAAATAGTAATAAAAAGATTTGTGTGTAAAAAAAACGTTCCATAATAATTAATATATTTATACTTAAAACACAAAAAGAGATTTAAAAGGGATGTTTTCTCACACAAAGGACGTAATAGATGCAGTTGTACAAATCACAAACTTTTCTGAATTGCTGTGTTGAGATTTTTCGCCGATGAATCGTATTGAGACTTACTGAAGAAATTTGTAACCATCGAAGCCATACAACGGAACCCGACCAAAAATAAAAATTTTGCAACGAAATGTCGTGATATTGTATTTATAATATACGCAAAATCAGTACTGCCATTTTAGCGCTTTGGGAACTAGATTTAGCCCTTTTTTGGAATGTATAGCGCGCATTTCGTAATTTTAGCACCTAGCTTAATCCAGCGCTTTTTGGTGTATTTAGCACAAATTTCAATATTTTAGCGACTAGCGGGTTATTAACTCTTTTATCTTTTAACCTTTAATATTTTTTCCCACAAATAGTACATTGCAGTTTATCTTTTTCAAACATATTTTTTCCACAAAGCAAAGAGCATGGGAGACGAGTCCAAACTAGGATACCCTGTGCTATGGATCTCCTGGCTTCCCCTTTAGGATGATCAACTTGATTTTTTTACCGACGACTATAAGCGGGGAAATCCCCTTTATTAAAGTTTTCGTTCATGGTTTTGGCAACGCATTTATTTTGCTTTATTCAGTTTCAGTCACTTGCTTAGAGCACAGCTAAGTTAAAAGTTACTTAGAAGTTATAACACAAAGAAACTGTGTAGCAACCGCAATCAGATGCTGACATCTGAAACTAAGTTGCGAAATACATTGCACTTTAAAACAATTAATGACATTTTTATTGTTCGTACAGTACTAACTACTGTTGACAGCAATTGCCATAATTATAAGTCGATGTCCTGCGAAGTATTGATACATCAAAAAAATATTGCCAGAAAAAAAACTTAATGTTGTTTCCTTTATTATGATTATATAAAAAAAACACAAACTTTGTTTGTAGTTAATTTAGCGCGAAATCTAGGGCTTTTTTAAAGCGTTGTTTTCATGAAATCTAGCGCTTTTTGTGTTGTCCTAGAGCTGAATGAGTTTTTTTTTAGCTGGCAGCACTGCCCAAAAACCCTCTATTAAGAAGTAACTTTCCTTTCAGTTTTAAGCGCGTTCAGTTCCCAGTTACAGTGAGCGTGTGTTATGCGATGACCGTAAATAAAGCGCAAGGTCAAACTACGCGTTGTAGGAGTGTACCTCAGTACTGACTGTTTTGCACATGGCCAACTCTATTTTGCTTTTTCCCGTGTTAGTAGCCCCCGTAAACTTTTTGTGTACACCCCGGCTAAGCCTACTTCTAACGTCGTTTACACAGAAGCTCTATCATAAACGACTTAGAACTTTGATGATAATGATTTTTTTAGTTACCACTTATTGATACAGTAATAAAATAAATCGTTTAATATTCTCTTACCTAAACGACAAATTCTTTATGTAAAACCTGTATACGCGAACTACGCCGCGGGCACAGCTAGTAGAAAATAATTTTAGCCCAACCCGGGATTCGAACCCAGGACCTCATGATCAGCAACTGTGTTTACGACGACTAGATCAACGAGGCAATCACCACATAAAATTCCTCTGCTGAACATGCTAGACGACGGAACGAAATGGAGTGATGAATTATCTTATGCCGCCTCCATTGGCTATAAAAATTCTCATTAAACCGTTTTCATGATTTCAAATTTAAATACTCTTTAATGCCCGAAAATATTTAAGCCCGACATGCGTCACAATGTTTTTTTATAAAACGTAAACGATTCTTCATAATTGAACCAATCATCTATTTTTTTTAATGTTAGTGCCGATTATGACTCAAAAAAATCCCTCCTCCTCTAAGGCAATCCGTGGGGAGGTTTATGTTCACCAGTAGATATTAAGAGGCTGTTATCTAAAACCAGTAAACCAGAACACATGAAAGGATTTTTTTACATAACTAAAATGTGGAAGATCAAAATAAAAATATAGCCCCAATTTTCTTACAAAAATAAATAAAATTATTTATTTCTTAATGCTTATTTTGTTAACAATAGTTTAAGCAACATACTGTCTAATTTTAAATACTCTATTCGAAATTACTGCTGGTAATGAAGCTGTGTAGTATATAGTTGATATAATAATTGAATAAAAGGCGTATTACATCTACACGTGATAAAAATCAAGTTGCAGTAATCCTCATATTCTATTATTGTCTTTAATCAATATATGTCTAAGCTGGACTTACAGCGAGAGTTGTTAATTAAATTATAGATTATAATGTTAATAGTATTACTGTTATTGTTAATCTAAAAATGTGGGCTTAGCCTGTGAAACCTAGTAAATGCTTATTACATAATTAAGAGAATTCTCTAGCCAAGAATAGTCTTGGGAATGTCCATAATATGTATTAGAAGCTGCGAGACTTGGGGGCCAAGTCCTCACCTTATATTTTGTAATAAGAGGTATTTCATCCATCCTTGAATTTTATTCTTAGTGGTTAAGAAAAACATTGTGTGGATATCATGTCAGAGGAATAAAAGATTCAAGAAATGTAATGTCTGCTAACATTACCCCGAGCACCATAACATATTCTGCTGTCTCACATTACTTACCTATAAATATATTGTTAGATATTACTCTAAAACAAATTTAAAAGAAAAGGAACATTACTTAGTAACAACTTTACATTATAAAATAAATGCAACACAGTAAGCAGTTAGAAGTAAATACAAGATAACATTAAAATAAATGAAGTATATGAACCGACAGCAATATTGCCTATCACGGTGTGACAATATGACAGCGTTTCCGCAATATTACCTTTTTTAAGATTTACTTAAAGAATTACCAGAAGTAAATACAAGATAACATTAAAATAAATGAAGTATATGAACCGACAGCAATATTGCCTATCACGGTGTGACAATATGACAGCGTTTCCGCAATATTACCTTTTTTAAGATTTACTTAAAGAATTACCAGAAGTAAATACAAGATAACATTAAAATAAATGAAGTATATGAACCGACAGCAATATTGCCTATCACGGTGTGACAATATGACAGCGTTTCCGCAATATTACCTTTTTTAAGATTTACTTAAAGAATTACCAGAAGTAAATACAAGATAACATTAAAATAAATGAAGTATATGAACCAACAGCAATATTGCCTATCACGGTGTGACAATATGACAGCGTTTCCGCAATATTACCTTTTTTAAGATTTACTTAAAAAATTACCAGAAGTAAATACAAGATAACATTAAAATAAATGAAGTATATGAACCGACAGCAATATTGCCTATCACGGTGTGACAATATGACAGCGTTTCCGCAATATTACCTTTTTTAAGATTTACTTAAAAAATTACCAGAAGTAAATACAAGATAACATTAAAATAAATGAAGTATATGAACCGACAGCAATATTGCCTATCACGGTGTGACAATATGACAGCGTTTCCGCAATATTACCTTTTTTAAGATTTGCTTAAAGAATTACCAGAAGTAAATACAAGATAACATTAAAATAAATGAAGTATATGAACCAACAGCAATATTGCCTATCACGGTGTGACAATATGACAGCGTTTCCGCAATATTACCTTTTTTAAGATTTACTTAAAGAATTACCAGAAGTAAATACAAGATAACATTAAAATAAATGAAGTATATGAACCAACAGCAATATTGCCTATCACGGTGTGACAATATGTCAGCGTTTCCGCAATATTACCTTTTTTAAGATTTACTTAAAAAATTACCAGAAGTAAATACAAGATAACATGAAAATAAATGAAGTATATGAACCAACAGCAATATTGCCTATCACAGTGTGACAATATGACAGGGTTTCCGCAATATTACCTTTTTTACATTTACTTAAAGAATTACCACCACGGGTATAATTACCACGACGGTCAATAAACCTCGTAAAATGACTGACTCCTTCCAACCGATTACCTACGTCGTGCTTTATTTTATACCGCTAGAACGAGTTCTACCCTCACTTCTTCGTATTTTATTTTATTTTCATCCTTAATTCCTAATAGTATATAATATAATACTAAATGTCATACAAGTACTTAAATTTGAACAAATATCAGGTTCTTACAGAACTGTTTTTAATACCTTTAGGTTTTTTTATAGGATAGGGTGACAAATGAGGACACAGTCCACCTGATGGTAAGTGGTTGCTGTGGCCCATAGACATCTACATTTATCCTCAATAAAGAATCAAAATACAGATGTGTTCCCACTCATGAGGACTAAGATGGAATGCCTCTTTTCCAGTAAAAAGTTCTCTACACTCACCATACGAAACACAGCAGTGTTAAGCTGCTATTTTAGGCTGGTATTCTGTGAGTGTGGGTCTTTCCCTGGTCGAGCCGACTCATTCGTGCTACAACTATACTACTAATATAGCTGCAGCATGGCTCTACTACGTATAAGGTTGAAAACACAACTACTATATTCCTATTTTTTCATTATGTATGAGAAAAAGCATTGTTTGTAATTAATTTAAATATTGTCACTATCATGTTTTATCAATTATATATGAATGCACATCATAATATTTATTATCATGCTGTTTAAAATATGTTTAGATATTGTTTATCTGTAGATAAAAATTATCATTGAGTTAATGTTGTGCACTATTATATTAACTCTGTAATCTGTTGATATTTAGAAAAAGTTTTCTTGATTTAACAAATATTTGTATAGTATATTTTCTAGATTGGACTACCGATTTAGGCTTAATATAATTCTGGCAAGTCGATTACTCAGTACTGTTTGTCTTACTAGACTGTCTTTTATTAAATATTTATGAAAGAGAAAATATTCATAAATTTAATAGAAAGATGACAAAAATACCAGTACCTATTCAATTACAGATATCCGACAAAGATCTTTCGTTGCTTGAGGAAAGAATAAAACGTGCGAGCAAAAGTCGCAGCGCGGAAGCGAGAAGGTCCATGTTGGTGCCTCTGTCAGCTTCTGGGAAACCCATACAACCTATGCCTGAGGTAAATTTCACATTTGTTTTGATAATGTATTGTTGTTATTATTTTTATTTTCTGTATTGACCTTTATAAATTTAGGGCAACTTGCACACAATTGTTACTAAATAAACATAATTTTTGTTTCCATAGGATGAACCACCGAGGCGTGTCATATCGGTTGATAGCGTTCCAGCCGCGGAATATGAAGAAGAAGAAGAAGAAGTTGAGGAACCACCACCGCCTCCTGTTGCGCAACCGTAAATATACAATTCACATTTAATTTATACTGACAATTTTAATCTTAATAAACGTAAATAATAGCTTCATTTAACTTTCTTACATATCACAGAAAATATCCTTATTTTTAAGGCCAACTTTGACGAAATATAGTATTTTTCAACACGATTTTGGCTTCTTGAAATAGCGTATCCTCTGAAAAAATGTGTTCATATATGAAACACTCAATAAATTAAAAAAATACTTTAATGTTAATTGAGATAAAAATATAATTACCACGGCTAATACTAATTAATATAATTAGTTGAGATAAAACTTTGTTTTATCCAATAGTAAAAATTTTTTAAAGCGAAAACCACAACTTGTAACCAGAGAGGTAGGCAGAGATTACGGACTTCCATTTGGCGCGATCCTGACACACCTCCCTCGCCTCCCTTACATCCATATCTCTACGCATACACACTCGTCACCGACCAGTGTGTATGCATAAGTAAAGGTTACTCCTAATCTGGCCTATTTTCAATGTATCGCCGATTTTGGTCGATAAATCTTTGTCTAGGGTGTCCCTTCCCGACTCTGCCGTTCACTTCTGAAACATAAATCCGCTTTGTCACTCTTTCCTCGTTCATTCTTTCTACGTGACCAAACTACCGAAGCATTCCTTTTTTAATCCTGGCCACAACGTCATCTTGCAAACCACACTTTTCTCTCTTATCACATTATTTCTCACCCTGTCATTCAGATTCAGCCCTAGCATACTCTTTAATGACCGCATTTCTACAGCATTTATTCTACTGTCATGATTCTTCTGCCAGACCCAACTTTCACTACCATACATTAAAGTAGGGACTAACACAGCATTATGAATTGTCATACGCGCCTTCTTTGACACATTCTGACTCCTCATAATAGCGTGTAGAGCCCCATTCACTCTATTTCCTGCGTTCACTTGTCGTTCTATATCCTTATCATATCTACCATCCCGGCTAAATAAACATCCCAAATATACAAACTCATCCGCTTGCCCAATCAACCCCCCTTCTATTCTTATTTCACATAACGTTTTACTTTCTTCTCTTTCAAAAACCATCACTTTCGTCTTACTTGCGTTCACTTTCATACCCCTATCTTTTAATGACCAATTCATTAAAGTAACCATCATTTGCAACTCGGCCACGGACGATGCAAATATGACTTGATCATCGGCGTACAAAAGGCGTTTGACGGTTAACTCACCCATTCTCAACCCATATTCTTCAACTTTCAAAGTTTGCAAACAACTGTCTCGTAAATAGGTTAAACAGCCACGGAGAAGCTACACAGCCCTGTCTGACACCTTTTTGAATGCCAAACCAGTCCGAGTAGACCTCGTTGACCCTGACCCAAGCACTAGAGTCCCTTTAAAGAGACTCTAATGCCTGTATCAAACCAGCGCTCAACCCAAATGAGATCAGTGTTTGCCATAACACGTTTCTGTCCACTCTGTCATAAGCCTTTTCCAAGTCCATGAACGCATAAAAACCTTATGGTTTTTGGCCAAAAATTTCTCTGCAATCATGCGCATGGAAAAGAGTTGATCTGTACACCCCATCCCCTTTCTAAATTCAGCTTGCACATCCCAAATTTTGTCATCAGTTTCTTCCATAACTCTTTCAATTAACATCTTAGCATACAGTTTACTCACAATGCTAAGTAAGCTGATACCACGGTAGTTTTTACAGTCCTGCTGCGAGCCTTTTCCCTTATTTATTGGGATTATAATGGCTTTGCACTAGTGTTCCGGTTTCCGCTTTAGTTCCCAACATAAATTAAACAAGGTGTACAGCAGGTCTGCAACCACACCCTCTCCAGCCCTTAGCATTTCGAGTGATACTCTATCATATCCGGTTGCCTTACCTGCTTTCATGCTTTGCAAAAAATTATGAAAGCATAAAGCGAAAACATGCAATATTTTTCGATAATATGAAAAGCCAGTTATCGAAGATTTGTGCGGCAGTGCGGGTGGTGTGGTCGGGAGGCACAGAGTATCTTTGTATGGCACAGACCAAGGTTATCCCCGCTAAGAACTTCTCCCGTATTGTGGAGGCAATTTACAAACATAACTTGCACAAGAGCAGCAGTACAACATGCAGACTTGAATAAATTATTTGTAGATTATACAAATACTTGTTCCGTGCGTGGTTCAAACCCGCTGCCCTGAGCGCAACAATTGATTGCTAAGCTACTGCATCATGGAGCCGTGGAATGTTTAAACGCTTGAAATGGTGTGTGTTGTGTGCAGTGTGTGTGCCGAGCCTCGTGTGGTGTCGGGCCCGTTCGGGCTGGACCCCGAGCTGATCGCGCAGCTGGACGCGGCCGTGCCGGTGACGCGGCGGCCCGAGCTGCCGGAGATCGACCTCAAGTTCCTGGACGAGCCCGTGCCCGCCGCCGCCGTGCGCGCGCTGCCCGCACCCGCGCAGCCCGCGCGCAACAAGTATGTGCCGCCACATAATACGGCTGCTAATACAATTATTAATAATACTAATACAATTATTATAGCTTAACTTTGTTTTCTTGTCTCGTTACAATGTATAAATACTATTAAAAATATATAAAAGTGTACTATAACCATAGATAAGATAGAATAAAATAAATAAAACACACTATCAGACTTATTCGTAAGAATAGTCCTGTCTGAGATGATGACCCGGTCCCAGTAGAACCTGGTGCGATCATACTTCGAGCACGGCTTCCGACATGAACTTATAATAAGGTAGCTCCGATCTACGAGATCGTATTTCAGAAGAAGCTCCTGGTGTAGAATCTTGTAGCTACTAGTTTATATCTGTGCAAATACTCAGAGTTAAAAAGCACCGAAAGAACAGATATGACATGCCTATGTGGTTCACTGGTATGGCGAGAAGCTCGACAGATGTCAGCACTACCATATTTTAGAATGAATCTCCGATAAATTAGTTTTAACTACCCGATCTTCATAAAACCCTCGGTTTCCCAGAAATATCACCGAAACCTAGCCAGTGAAAAAAAAAACTCAATTGTATCTTCGAAAACTTACATACGGACTGTTTCATATAAATCTGCCATTAGAATTAGCGACACTACCCCTTAATGTAGAGCCCTGCGTAACGCCCTATTGTATTGTTTTTTTCAAAAATCATTGCAATTGCAATCACCATAAAAGTTCACATTGGATGTAAAATAATTTTAACATCTTCTGATAATTGTAAAATAAGGCTGTGGTTCTTTGTTAAATTCTGCTTGATGTCGATAAACTTGTTTTTTTTTTTTAATTATTTTTAATATTTTCTAATATTTCAAGTACTTTGCAGCAACCATGGTCGTAGGGGGAGTGAGGTGTTGAACACTGAATCAATTTAAAAAATATTTATAATGAGTAGAATTGATATGATTAAATCCGTAAAAATGACTTTCATTGGAAACAAAAAACAAAATAAAACATGTGTGAGTGTCGTAGAAAACTCGGTTGGAACGAAGTTCCTTTCGTAGTATATTATTATTGATAAACCTATTATATTATTGATTAACAAATACAAATAAATGCATTACTAGCGTCTATTAAAATGAAGCGTCATTAAAAATAATTTTCTATCATGGCAAGATAAGTGCGAGTGAGATGGACATTATTCCATCTCGCTCGCACTATTGAAAGGATCGTGAGGGAAAAATCTTACACTTTTCTTGCCTAACAAATTTGGCAGATGGGGGCCATCTGCCAAATTTGTACCGTGAGACCTTATCGCACGGTACGAATTTGTCAACTTCGTTCCAAGAACTGAAAACTGGAGCAAAATTATGCTTCGGTTGTTGTATTATTACATTATGTGGCGTCTCATTATTACTCGTTTACTCAATATCACTAATTTTCGATTATACTATACGAGGGTGGATTGAAAAGTACTCGGCCTAACACAGATCCATTCAATTCTAAAAATCAAATCTACCCACATTATTTAGTTCAGTTCAGACTGGTCACAATGAACCATGAAGTTCGAAACGTGTGCGATAATTAGTTGTGATTTTAGAAATTTATTAACAAAGTAATCGGACATAATTTCCGCGAATGGAGCAAATCGAGCAGCGTGCCGTCATTAAGTACCTCCATAAGAAGGGGCTATCATCAAAAGCCATCCATGGTGACATGGTCAGTACATTAGGCGATTGTGCTCTGTCATATTCATCCGTCAAAAAATGGATAGCAGAATTTAAGCGTGGTAGAGAGAGTGTGAAAGATGAACCCCGCTCTGGAAAGCCTTCGACGTCAACTACTGACGAAAATATTAAAAAAGTACTTGATTTAATAATGGGAGACCGCAGATTAAAAATTAGAGAGATAGCCGAGATTATAGGCATCTCTTATGAACGAACTCAAAACATCATTGTCAACGAGTTGGGTTTCCACAAGGTGTCTGCGAGGTGGGTTCCGCGACTGCTTTCAGTTGAACAAAAAAGGACGCGATTGACTATTTCACGCGACTGTTTGGAGTTATTTGAAGCCGATGCAGATGATTTTTTGAATCGTTTTGTTACTATGGACGAAACATGGGTTCATTACTGTACACCGGAAACAAAACAACAATCAAAACAGTGGAGAAGACCTGGTTCACCACCCCCTAAAAAGGCTAAGTCGATTTTGTCGGGAAATAAGGTGATGGCTTCAGTATTCTGGGACTCGAAAGGTGTGATTATGATTGATTATCTTGAAAGGGGTCAGAATATAAACTCTGATTACTACTGCACCTTACTACGTCGTTCACGAGAGGAAATAAAAGAAAAACGTCGAGGAATGCTCAGAAGAATAGTCCTGTTTCATCAAGATAACGCCCGTGTTCACACGTCAGTACAGTCAATGGCTGAAATTCACAACTGTGGCTTTGAACTGTTACCGCATCCGCCGTATTCACCTGATCTGGCACCATCAGACTTCTTTCTGTTCCCTAACCTAAAAAAGCACTTGGGAGGTCAAAGATTTTCGACAAACGACGAGGTCAAAGCAGCTGTAGACGCATATTTTGACTCTAAGGAAGAATCATTTTTTTTCAACGGTCTAAATGCTTGGAAGGGGAGGTAGCAAAAGTGTATTGAACTTGATGGTGATTATGTAGAAAAATAAAAATATAACTGATTTAGTATGTGTTTATTTTCTTGGTTAGGCCGAGTACTTTTCAATCCACCCTCGTATAAATAATGTATGTATAATAACACCAGTATAATTACGTGTCACATTGTTTGTTTGCGATGAACTCCTAAACTACTGAACAGATTTTAATGAAATTTTGCGCACTGTGTGCAGTTTGGTTCAACTTGAGAGATAGATTACTATTAGTGGTAGAGCTTTGCTGCAGCTATATGAATAGTATAGTTGTAGCACGAATGGGTAAGCTCGACCGGGGAAGGACCACGCTCTCACAGAATACCAGCGTAAAATAGCAGCTTAACACTGTTGTGGTTCGTATGGTGAGTGTGGAGAACCGGAGACCCTTTTTACTGGAAAAGAGGCATTCCATGTTAGTCCTCACGGGTAACAACGCATCTGCATTTTGATTCGCAAACGAGGATAGATGTAGATGTCTATGGGCCGCAGCAACCACTTACCATCAGGTGGACTGTGTTCTCGTTTGTCACCCTTTCCTATAAAAAAAGTGACCCTCAATATTTTTAATTACGAATTTAAGGATTTTTTTTTTATAGAACAAAGGGTCAACGGTGAGGGCAGAACAACGTCTGCCTGGCCAGCTAGTATATATATATAAATATATAAAAATAATATTGTGTTATTCCGGCAGCATGGTGACAATGTCTCCACCTCGACATATGACCCCGCATCCGCTAGTGGCGACACAGCACACGCAGCACAATCAGACATCGGTCGACGATTCACAGCTCGCAGATACTATACACTCTATAGCCAGTCCCGACCTCAATGTGAGTTTACCTCTAATATTTTATCTATAATGGGCTAGGTACTACAAGATGAAGAATGTAAATAAACTTGCAGGATATAGATATTTTTATTTAGGAATTTAATAATATGTTAACTTGATAATGAAGAATTATGAACATTTTGTCCAAGTCTATTTATGGACAAGTTATTATACTTATACAATTATATTTTTGTTTTTATTAATAAGAGTGATAGATGAGCCAACAATCTTCTTGAGTTTATAGCTACAGCAGCCCATAGATGCCTCTAACTAACTTAAATAGATATAACTTCTCAGTCTTAATTACGTAGGGATTATCTTTCTTAGTCTATTATCCTTGAAATATGTGTCAAAAAAAGTTTTTTGTTTAATACTTTTCACTTCTTTTTTTTTACATGCATGTTTAATGTAAGAATAGTTGAGTAATGTTGACTTTATTTCATAGGTAGTTTAATTAAATATAAAGATAACACACGGGTAGATTGAATTGTAAGTACTTAATTTAACTTTGATTGTGTGGATGCACTTTACTGTATTCACTAGTCTATAATGTCGCCCTGTGTTCGTCGGTAAGCAGCGACAGAGAGAAACAAATCAGGATATGGTTAGCAGCGAATTCTTAACAACTAGAAACTAAAAAAATTGTTAAACGTCGCAACTACGGCAAATTATATGTGGTAGAGCCACACTGCAGATATATTGTGGTTGTAGTACAAATGGTTTGACTCGATTGGGTGAGGACTACGCTCTCACAGAATACACGCGTAAAATAGCAGTTAATGCTGCTGTGTATGTTACGTGTATAGAACCGGAGATCTTCTTTACTGGAAATGAGGTATTCTATGTTAGTCCTCAGGGGTGACAACGTATTTGCATTTTGATTCTTAGTCGAAGACAAATGTAGATGTCTATGGGTCACAGCATCTACTTACCATCAGGTGGACTGTGTGTTCGTTTGTCACCCTCATTCTGTAAAAAAACAAATGTTCTGGATTATCGAACCTGTGACTATCTTACTGATTTAAAGGTTCTTTTAAATAACGTATCAATCGCTATATTTGTAACCTTGTTTCAACAATTTCCGTGTAGTGGCATGTAAGAATACTCACTACCCCATATCTTCCCGTGGGTGTCGTAAGAGGCGACAGAGGGAAACTGAGGCAGAAAATGGTCAGCAGCATCTTTCTGATAACAGCAAATAAGAATAAAAAAACTGCGGTTGCTAACCCACTCGCCAAGCGTGGCAACTATGGTAATATACCCCCCATGAATGAATAAAGTTACGAAGAGACGGCCCCCAGTCTCTCCCCTTGTTCATTGATGTCTTTGGTAAGCACCTCTGACACCTCTCCCTCTTTCCTACTGGGCTTTAAATTGTCCATATTTATTTTTGTGTTTAAAATTCGTTCCCCCGGCTTCCCACCTTCCATGGAGCCCGCATCTTTGGGAACGCCCTACTTTAAAAAATAATTTCAGGCGTTAGAATTACCGGGGGTATATAGTTACGCGAATTTAGCTCACAGCGCGACATCGGGAGCTCGATCTAGCTAGTAGATCGGTCTGAAAAGGCCCATCCCCACTACCCGAATAGACAGCTTGAAATCCGGACCAAAGAGGAAGTGTTGCCTCTCGCCACTATATATCCCAGTGACGATCGGTTCTACCCTCCAGGACTCCTTTATCCCCGCGTACGGCGCTCGACTTCGCAGGTCCTAGCGCAGGTGGGTGTGTTAGTCCACCGGATACACCCACTCTCTTCGGCGGAATCGCCCCTTCTCCTTTCTCATCCGGGATTGGGACCGGCAATGGGGGAGTTAAGAGCAAGTCTTATCCGACACTATTCCGATGATACTCCAAACGTCAGTCTGGGCGAAATTAGAATGGCTCTTCAGCACCTTAAAAATATCAAGTCGCCGAGTGAGGATGGAATTACACCGGAGTTTCTGAAAGCGGGTGGGAAACCGGTATTTGAAGTCCTTCAGAAGCTTTTTAATTCCGTTCTCCATGGTGACATTACACTAGTCTCTCTATCTTCTCGTCAGGTATACCTTAAAATTTGAAAACGAGACTATACAATCAGTGCGTGTTGTGCCAGTGGTAACTTATGGAACTGAGACGTGGCCTTTCACTGCTGGTCGTATAAGGAAGCTTAAGGTTGCTCAACGAGCTATGGAAAGAGCTATGCTCGGGGTTTTTTTGCGTGATAAACTTAGAAATTAGGATATCCGTAGTTGAAACAGAATGACCGACATAGCCTAACGGATTAGTAAGCTGAAGTGGCAATGGGCCGACCATATACCCGACCGAAAACCGACAATAGGTTCTCAAAAAAAAAAGTTCTTGAGTGGCAGCCTAGTACCGGTAGGCGAAGTGTAGGACGACCCACCACTAGATGGAGTGACGACCTGGTAAGACATGCAGGAAGTCGATGGATGTAGGTGGCTCAGGACTGTGCTTTATGGCATTCCTTGGGGAAGGCCTATGTTCAACAGTGGACTTGTGAAGGGCTGTAATGATGATGATGAATGATGATTCAACAATTGTTAGCTTTATTCTATAATAATAAAAGAGTTATGTTGGGCTATGTTCGATAGGCTAGATGTTATGTTTGATAGGTTACAATGAACGGAATAAAGTTACAGCCTCCACTGTTGGGCACAAGCGTCCTCTCACTTCTTAGAGAGTTATAGGGTATGAAAGTGTTCGCCGCGCTGCCTGATTGCGTGTTGGTGAAGTTGACACGTGCTGGCAATATGTTCTGATGTGGTGCAACTGCGTTTGGCAGGCGGCGATCCGCGCGCTGTCGCTGATCTCGGGCGCGCTGGTGTCGGGGCGCGGCGCGGCGCTGGGCGCGCACGAGGCGCGGCTGCTGGCGGCCGTGGCGGCGCAGCTGCGGCGCCTGCGCACGCACCACGCCGACGCGCCGCACCACACGCTGCCCGCCTACAAGTGCCTCGCCGGCGCGCTCAACACCGTCAGTATTATTTTATTTTACCACTAGCTAACCGATGCTCTATGAATCTCGACAACGGCGCCACCTACCAACTCCTATTGTCAATCTAAACCATTCTCCTCGAATCAACTTAATCACTTCTACAAAATCTCATCAAAATCGGTCCAGCCGTTTAGGAGAAGTTCAATCACACGTACACACGAACAGAAGAATTATATAAAGATAAACAATCCCACCTGGTTGTTACCAATACTATTATTTATTTATTTACACAAAGTAATGTTAGAATGTAAAATTAAAAAGATATTTTCTACAAAGGTACTGCTTATTTCATATTAAATTTTACCCAATACTGTACAGATTCGATGAGAAACGAATTTAATGTCCACTCTCATAATAATTATTATAACACTTCTATCATTACCATACATACATACACTTATATCTAAATACATATTCATACACATATTATATTAGTCCAAGCAATGATAAAGAGAAAAATATACTATGAGTATAAACTTTTATCTTGCCTAAAAATTTTTTTAAATCAATTTATATCTTTTTCTCGACTTCATCGACACCACCTTTTTTCTTGTAAAAAAAAGTTATGATGCTTAGCTTGCGAATTTTATTATTCAATCTACATTTTTTTTTGTTGCATTTGCACTGTTGTCTGTATTTAAAAAAACACTATTACAAACATAATTCCAAAAAAATTATATCTTGGGTTGAGCGTCGCGCGTAACCTTTTCGACGACAGGCGCGTGGCGTGCTTTCGTGGTCTGGCAAACAGTTGTGTCAAAAAGAAGAGTGCCAGACTCGATTTTTCATTTTTTACTGACCAATCTCTATCAAATTAAAAAAGAATTACACTTAAGATAGGTATTGACCGGAGTTACGGGGCATCATGTACCATACGCAGCGTACAACGTTACGCCGTGTGCTAAAATTCGTGTAACACGCTCGTTTTCGAACGTTTCGAACTATTTGCTCGCCCTTTCTTCAGATTCGTTGCCACTCGTAGTCAAGATGTCGGATGACGAAGTTATATTGGGATCTATGCTGAAATAAAGAGTTTTATCTTTGTCCCACTCCATCTTTTTAACAACAAATAATCGCAACTAATAAAATAAAGTCCCTAAGTACCTAGAGTCGACGCCTGTGCCATGAGCGCTCGTGACGAATTGCTGCGACGTACTGGCTGAAGCGCGTAATACTCAAAAGATTCGCCAAAAAACTGACAGTGGGGTGGAACTCTCGCAGCAGACAACAAGCCGCTCGTTGTGTATGCCCGCTGTGAAACACGTTACATTACGCCCCGTAACGGCGGTCAGTACCCACCTTTACGTTTTATATATCAATTTTACAAAAAAAAAAAAATATGTCAAAAAATTTTGGCCAAGTTACAAAGCACGAGACTACTGGTTTATTATTTAACTAATACTCGGCAAATAAAAAAGTATATTTTCTACTTATTCCGGATGACCAAACTTTTTCGACGGTCACCGCTTGGATTATATGGATCGTTATAAAAAGAAGTACAGTCATTTTGGGTAACTTTGAATAGCGGTTTAACTTTGAACAAAGTTGTGAAAAAGATTTAATAATTTATAATAAGGAAACTTTTTGTTGTTACAATATCGTAACTGCGTAAAATGGATCGCCAAAATGTTTTGTAGCAAACGAAGAGTAAAAAAATAAACTGTCAAATACATAATTTTGAAAATTACCCGCCTTTTCCGTAGTGAAGTTATTGGAAGTGTTTTTTGCTCTGATTTGAAATAGTAATTAAATATACTAAACTTATTTTACACAGGTATGTTTTGGTGTTTATCTTTAAAATGTAGTTTATATTTTATTTTTTTCAATTCATTACTCGATTTTGATGTTAAATATTATGTAGAACTGATGAAGTTTTGAAGACGATCAAAATCGAAGTAATTTGGGTAACATTGAACGGTTCAAAGTTACCCGTATTATAAAAAATATTGTTTGGATAACTTTGAATAAGTAAATACATGATGTTGCTCGATTACGATTAAAATTTTCGCCTTTTACAGCTAAAATATGCCCCGAAAAACTCAAAAAGTGAACCCCGGGGTTAGGAGATATGGACTAAAAAGTAATTATACCTCTGAAACGCTCGAAGAAGCCCTCAGTAAAATTCGTTCAGGTGCCATGTCTAGACTCGCTGCTTCAAAGTTTTACAAAATACCCGCGGTAACCCTTTTTTACAAATTAAAAAGTAAACACATAAAACCAATTGGTAAACCTGTTACTTTTAGTAAAGACGAAGAAACTAGCTTCAAGGCTCATTTGTTGCTGCTAAGCGATCTCGGCATACCTATGAGTATGATGGACTTCAGATTTGTAGTAAAAAACTACTTAGATAGCAACAATATGACAAAGCCACAATTTAAAAACAACCTTCCAGGTTATGAATGGGGTGTATTGTTCTTAGAAAGAAACCCAGAATTAAAAACAAAAATAGCTTATAACATATCCCGAAAGAGGGCTCAAGTCACACGAGAAATGGTCGAGGAATTCTTTGAACATATTAAAACGGAAATAGAAGGAGTCCCACCAGAAAATATATATAACATGGATGAGTCAGGTTTTCATGACGACCCTGGAAAGAAAAAGTTGCTTTTCCGTAGAGATTCTCGACATCCCGAAGTTATAAAAAATACCAGTAAATCGTGTTACACTGTGGTCTTTTGTGCAAATGCTGGTGGCGAAGTTTTGCCTCCTTTTTTTTATATTTAAAGGAAAGAGACTGTGGTCAGATTGGCTTTTTCAAGCTCCTTCAGGTTCAAGAATGGCTGTGTCTGAATCTGGATGGATAGATTCTTCAATCTTTGAGGAGTGGTTGGAAAGACATTTTATTCCACACGTTGATAAGCAAAATGGCAAGAAGGTATTGTTGTGCGATAATCTCAGCGCCCATATATCACCAAAAGCATTACGTCTGCAGTGAACATAACATTACGTTTATTTGCTTACTACCAAATTCAACCCACCTGTTGCAACCACTAGATGTGGGTTATTTTTCTGGCTTAAAAACTTCATGGAGAAAAGTTCTCAATGATTATCGACAGACTAATAAAGGAAAAAAAGTACAAGCACTGCCAAAGTCTCTCTTTGCCCAGCTGCTCAAAAAGTCTCTAAATAATATTGAAGGTACGTCATCTGACAATGTGAGCCGGATTTCAGAGCTGTGGCTTGCAACCATTTTCACCTTCTACCGTTTTGAACAAATTACCAAGGTACACGTCTCAGGCAGATGTTTGCGATTCTATTGGTACAAGTTTCATAAACTACATAGAAGAAATAAGGCAAGGAGATTCGCATGTGAAGAAAGGAAGAAAATTTCAAATACCTGTTACGGCTGGGAAAAGCGTTTCGGCTGAGGAGGTCGAAAAATATTATGAAGAAAGAGACAATACAAACAAAAGTATAGGACTAAAGGGAGCTGAAAGCGACGCGCAAACCAAGAAAAAAGGACGACCCCTGGGTTCTAAGAACAAAAAGAAAAAGAAGATTAATAATGATACAGAAGAAGAAAAAAATAAAGATTTTGACAGGGACCAGATTAAAAATGGAGAAGCAGAAGATACAATCACTGAAAAAAATAGTGATAATAAGTCTGAAAAAATTGAAAGAAAAGTAATAATAGTAGAAGCTTTAGTTCACCAACCTCCTAAACTTTCCAAGACATCTGCTGGTGACTTAAGCAACGCTTTTGAAAATCAAGTCATGGCAGAAGATATGATCCAGGAAGAAAGCCCTGACTTAGACATAGGAAGTGAAGTGATTTTAATAGATGAAGACATTATAGAAGAATATATAGTAGATGAGAAAAGTGGTGAATTAAAGGGCGTGACGACTGAGAAGTGTACAGGCAAGGGAGACGTTAAAGTCCCGAAATTAAAAGAGGGTACATATTGTGTCTTTAGAGAAGAGGGTAGTTTGTTCCCAGGAAGGATACAAAAACTTAGACCCTTACAAGTCTCTGTGCTCCAAAAAAACTTTTTAGGAGGTTGGTCTTGGCCCTCTAAAGCTGACATATGTCAAATCGATGAGGCCAATATAATAAGTGTTTTAAAGGAGCAACAGTTATCCAAAAAAGGCGGCCAACTTTTTATTGAAGATGAAATTCTGTTATTGCAATGGGGTGTATGATTTTGTTTAAAAAATTGTTTAAGAAAATGTTACTTAGAGTTACGATTTTGATCTCATTCAGTAGCCAAATAAATGTATAATTTGTTATGTTACACACAACTTTCCTACTTTATCTTGAAGTAATAAATAATTATAAAAAAAACACGACCTTTTTTCCCTCCAAATTGGTCCACCTTGATTCATATGGCAAGACCAAGTTATCTATTATATTTGAACGTCACCATAGATATCATTTTGATAGAAAATACGTCGTTTAATTTTACCCGAACCTTAAAATATTGGATTAATATAGGTTTTTATACCCTAAAAAATTTAGATTCAAAGTTACCCAAAACTCGTGGTAACTTTGAATTTGACTTTTAGAGGAATTTCTAGGTAGTTCTGTTGTTTTCTCCGTAAATTTATTGTGTTGAAATAATAAACCAACTCAGAAGAACACTATTTTTTCAATAAAACATACGTGTATAAATATAAATCAGATTGTAATATCACAAATACTGTAAAAAATGTTCAAAGTTACCCAAATTGACGTTAGAAGCTTTATATACTCGTATTTTCAAAAACTGTAATATCGTCATATCAATATTTATATTGTTGCGCGCCACTATTAATGTTTTGTACGTGGCAACACTAGTTACCACTAGCGCCCTCTAGTATCGAGTAGCAGAACTAGGAGAATCAAGATCCTTCTAGAAATTTCGGGACCGATATGTACTCGAACATACTAGATGTTTCTACGGTAGAAGGTTCTGGAAACTATCTGAGGTCCTATATAAATCCGGTATAGACCACGACCGAGTGAGTATTGAATTGGCGATACAAGAGAATACTTCGAAGCAAAATAACTGCAAACTAAAGTGATCAGTAGTACAATTGTGTTTTATTATTAGTGTGGTTTTAGATTGTAATTAGTGTTCTGTAATTAAAGTGTTAATTTTGGTAATTCTTTCTCGAACCCCAAGCTCGTAACAATATATTTGAACTTAAATATAAAATTTGATTACTCTTTAAAAAATAAACCCTGTATATTTAAGTCGCCTTTTAAAGTCTGGCACTGTTTGAGCTTCAGAAATTGCGGCAGAAAGAGAAGTCCATAAACCATTACAGCCTATGGAGAGTCCACTGCTGAACAGAGCAATCTCCATGGGTTATCTCAAATGGAGGATATTTGCCATAGAGGCCATGCTTGGCAAGCAGGTTGTTGACATAATTTTTGAGTTGTTATCAGGAAGATGCTGTTTCCTATTTCCTTATGATGGCTAATAATTTTCTGCTCATCAGTTGTCGCTAGTTGACACTGAGGTAATGTTTTTTGTTACACAATGTAATTTAATTGAAAAGTTGTTTTTTTTTTTTAATAAAAGTTTATCAGTTTCTAGAGTATTATATCAATACACAAAACAATGCGTCAGTGGTTTGCTCTTTAATTTTTTGCATTTTTTAAACTTTTTTAAACTTTTCTTCTTTTATGAATATCTGTGTTTTGGTTTATTTATTTTTAATGTTATTAATATAAAATATAGCTAATAGTACCAAAAGAAACAATAACTTTTACATTTTCCGAACCAATTAACTTCCCCTCTATGAAATCTGTCAAATATTATACTCACTTTCTAGTGGCGCCGCCCTGGTGGCAGAAAAATTCGTGGATGGGCTCATTCAGTTTCCCCCTGTCGCCTCTTAAGACACCCACGGGAGGATATAGTGTAGTGGATATTCTTACATCGCCACTACAAGGTTACATACATATTACATAGTTTATATTACATTTTATAGTTCTACGATACGTCTGGGTGTGGCGGGAACGTGAACGAGGCGGCGCTGTGCGCGCTGCTGGGTGAGCTGCTGCGCGTGCTGGGAGGCGCGGGGGCGGGGGCGGGGGCGGCGGGAGGCGGGGGCGGCGACGCGGAGCGGCTCGTGCGCATCCTCAACAACGTGTGCGTCAGCGTGCTCGAGCACTCGCCGCGCACGCCGCTGCTCTGGTCAGTGTAGCGCACGCCGATGTCACGACAAACCATTCCGCGCGTACACACGCATACACGCACGCTAAAACGCGCGTACACGCGCACATACACATACACCCGCGCATACACATACACATACATATACACACATGCCACATACGCACGTGCGATTTTTCACCAGCATCGGTTGCTACAACCACGCCCGTCAGCAGTACACGCTACTTCTAAATGAGTTTGACGTTTTATGAAAATATTTCTTCCGCCTTATACCACAACATTTAAAATAACAACCAATAACAACTACAAATGTTAAAAATAATAGTTTAAAACTAACAAATATGAACTATTTGAAGCCTAATTAAGTATATTTACTTTTACTGTATCAAAATTTGTCAGTCGAAATTTAATGGCTAGACAAAACAAACTGTACTCGCTAAAATAATAACATTATGACCATGATAGTCTGGGACTTAGTAAATTCCATATTTATGTTGGCCTTAAAAAAAATAATGCACTAACTGTGTGTGTTCCTTGCTTAGCATGTCGTTAAAGGCGACTAATGAGATATTGAGTTTGTGATTGTGTAGGCAATGGGCTAGCCATCTACGATTTTAGTTAGCCATCTGTCTATCACTTTTTTCACAATTATCCATCTAAACCAAATGGTCCAAGTAGCTTGCTGCTCTTTAGACTCTGCCTACCCTCTTTAGGGATTACAGGTGCTTTTATTTAGTAACCGACATAGCCCAACGGATTAGTAAGCTGAAGTGGCAGTGGGCCGGCCATATAGCTCGAAGAACTAACAACCGATGGGGAAGAAAATTAGATGGATACAGGTGCCTCAGGACCGTGCCTTGGGGGGAGGCGCTTGACACGCCAGGCGTGTCATGAAATATTTGTTCGCCACAGCTAAAAGTTGTCGATAATTGGTGCCGCAACGAATCGGTTAACAATTTTTTTATTTTACAGTGCGATAGTTTCACTTCTTCACGAATCGATTGGGGTTTCTGATCCTGCTTACCCACGCTACCAAGATTTGTTACTGAAGTGCTTCTGGAAGACCCTCAAGATGATCGCCACCTGGGACGTAAACTCTATAGACTATGACGCGGTGCTATATAAGATTCATCTGTTTTACAAAGCCTTCCCAAACAGCTACTGGAAGAAAAATGCGGATATCAGTGATACACCTTATAGGTAAGTTACTTAGGTTATTGTTATATACTTTGTAACAATGTTGCTATTATACGAGGAGATTTACTATATTTTTTTGTCATTTCAGTTTCAATTTTCATTTAAAGGATTTTAACTGATATCAGTTTCAACTTTCCCTATTGCTCAAATTGTGCCTCTCTTAATATAATAATCTTTAATTTTCTTTAAATAGGCTGCACAAATTCTTCCGAGCCTTATCTAAAGTAGCCCTTTACGGCAGCCTTGGAAGGCATGCAATCATAGCCTCCCTTATAATTCCACCACATGAAGCATTATGTAATAAAATGCCACTGAAAGTGTTTAATATGACTAAAATTACTAAATTATCTAATAAACATTTATTATGTTATATAAGTATTAGAAATTCTGTTTTCTTGTTAATGGTAATAAAATGAGTTATATGACTTATTTCTTTTATAGAACTGTAAAGACTCTTGTCCATACATTGGTGAAGATGAAAGGAGCATCGATAACCAACCACTTAACTCAAATACCAGATGTCAATGAATCCGACCTCTATCCTTATTTGCATAAAGTACTGAAGGTAAGAAACTTAATATTATGATAATTAAGTACCAACCCAATATTTATAGCACACACAATGTAACTAAAGAAGTATAAGTCACAAATGATCAATAAGTATTTTAGTTTTGATAAAATTTTGTATTGATAAAAATAATTGCAAATAAATGTTTGCTTATAATGAAATCTTAAATTGTGGTTCTTTCCGCAGCAATTGAAACTGGATGACAAAAAAGAAAATACGGCGGAGTCGCTGAATGGTGGAGGTGGTATTCCTGGGGGTATGGGAGTGGGTATGGGCATAGGAGTAGGAGCAGGAAATGCGGCACTTCAGGCCGGCCGGCTGCCTCGCGCACTACACGAAGAGTTGGCGTTAATTCTTAAGCGCATTGGCTCCAAAGACCATAATCGAGACGCGCTTTCGCAGCTCTATGACCTTAGGGTAAGCGAAATTCCTTCCTTCTCAATAATTTTATTTTCGTGGAAAATCTCTTACATCCAGTGGACGAAATAGGTGAGAGATTTTAATACGAAGCCACCACAGCAAAACTCAGCAGATGATGGTGAACTTCTAATGTCAGGATGAGTGACACTGACCATTCATGTGCCAAGTGTAATAATTGCACCATTTCATCCAGTCAAAAAGGATTACGTCCACTGATAAACTGCTTAAAGACTAATCATCATTATCGTCACAATTTCACTACTGTAAATATCCCACCCAAATAAACTACCTTTCTGAGCTACCTACATCCATTGACTGCTGCATGCCTTATCAAATTGATTGGCAATTGAAACGTGTGGTAAAATTAAAAATTTTTGTACAACCGACTCCAATATAAATTATTAAGGATAACTCAATTTTTTTTATATGTGGTAAAGCCATGTTGCAGCTATATTAGTAGTATAGCTGTAGCACGAATGGGTCGGCTCGACCGGGGAAGGAACACGCTCTCACAGAATACCAGCGTAAAATAGCAGCTCAATGCTGCTGTGTTTCGTATGGTGAGTGTAGAGAACCGGAGATCCTTTTTTAGTGGAAAATAGGAGATTAAAAAAAACATACAGTCGAATTGAGTTTCTTCTCCTTATTGCAGTCGGTTGAAAATGCTACCCATTTGTCTATGCAGATTGCCACCTATATAAACCTTTCTTCATGTTTATGTAAACTTTTTTGTTTGTGTAGTTTCTGTTTATCTAAACCAAATGTAAATATTTCAGGAACGTCACCCAGAGGTGGACATTTGGACATTTATGCAGGGCTCATCATTTTATTTCCGTAATTATGTGGAGCGTGGTCTGCGGGAAGTAGCCGAGCAACGCAAGATGGCGTCAGTACCGTTGTATAAGCATGATTATAAAAATGAAAACATAGGTAAGTGACACAACCAAAACATCTATAAAATGTAGTGAATTGGGTTTTTAAATAATTGACATTGGCAATATGTTTTGTGGGTCTTAAAACTCATTAATTTTGCAATTCAAGTATAGACACTTATAATTTCAGGACTTTATTATTACTATTATTGACTTTTTTTTTTAAATTAATTTATATAATTTTTAATATTTTTTTCAGATATTAGTAACGAAAACGATGAAAAGTCACACCTCATATTTCTGGAGCGATTGAGGGCTTTACAGGTAACTTTAATATTAATTGCTTAATTATTTATAATATATTATATAATAATATACTAAATTTTTCTTCGAGTCTCACTTATACTTGCGACTTACCTAGCCTGGCTAACTACAGACCGTCTATACTACTAGGAGAACCCGTCATTGAATTTATTTTGCCGTTAAAACAAAGATGCGAAATAAATTTGGTTTCTCTGAAAATATACTATTGTTTGGGAAAATATTGTTACGAGCTTGGGGTTCGAGACAATTAAAAACTGCCGATTGAATTACCAAAATTGACACTTTAATTACACAACACTAATTACAATCTAAAATCACACTAATAATAAAACACAGTTCGCCGTTATTTCGCTTCGAAGTATTCTCTTGTATCGCCAATTCAATACTGCCTTGGTCGTGGTCCATACCGGCCTTATATAGGGCCTCAGACAGTTTCCAGAACCTTCCACTGTAGCGACATCTAGAATGTTCAAGTACATATCGGTCCCGAAATTTCTGGAAGGATCTCGACTCTCCTAGTTCTGCTACTCGACACTAGAGGGCGCTAGTGTAACTAGTGTTGCCATGTACAAGACATTAATAGTGGCGCGCAACACTTTCTTTTACTCGACACTAGAGGGCGCTAGTGTAACTAGTGTTGCCATGTACAAGACATTAATAGCGGCGCGTAACACTGCCCCCTCCTAAGACATGCTCGTCCCGAGCATTATTGGCCCCATAATAACGCGCCAGTCGATCCACATGGACAATCTTAGGAGTACCTCTGACACCTTTCTGTATCCGGTAGGTTACGTCATTGATCCTTGTCACAATCCGGTACGGTCCGTCCCATTTAGCTTGAAGCTTAGGAGATTTCCCTTTGCTGCGAACTGGATTGTGTAACCACACTAGTGAACCTTCATCAAACCCCTTGTTGTTCATTTTGCGGTCATACCGTGTTTTCATCTTCTCAGACGTTTGCTGGCCCGTCTGTCTGACGTGTTCATAAATGTCATTCATTTTGTTCCGCAAGTCATTTGCATAATCGGTTATACTGCGTGGGGCATCAGGTGGTATTCCGGTGATCAGGTCTGCAGGCAGCCGTAATTCTCTCCCAAAGTTTGCGAAAGCTGGCGTCACTGACGTACTTTCGTGAACAGCGCTTCGATATGACAACAAAAACGGTTGTATGTGCCTGTCCCAGTCTCGTTGCCGTTTTTCCACAACTTTTGCCAGGTACCTATCCAATGTCTGATTAAATCGTTCTACCATTCCATCAGATTGTGGGTGGTAAGAAGTTGTTCGTGTTTTATGAGTACCCATAACTCTGCAAGTTTCCTGGAATATTTGAGACTCGAAATTCCTTCCTTGATCGCTGTGAATCTCTAAAGGTACTCCAAAACGACAGAAGACTTCATGAACTAGTTTATCTGCAATTGTTGAAGCTTCTTGATTTGGAATGGCGAAGACTTCTGGCCACTTAGTGAAGTAATCCATCACAACCATGAAATACTTGTTACCACTTTCACTTTCCGGAAACGGCCCCGCAACGTCAATGGCTATCCTCTCCCATGGTGCACCAACATTGTACAATTTCAATGCGCCTCTACTACGAATTTGAGGTCCCTTTACAGCCGCACAACTTGTACATTTGCGGCACCAGTCCTCGACATCGTCACGACAGTGGACCCAGTAAAACCGTTCTCGGATTTTCAGTAGAGTTCGTTTAACTCCCAGGTGGCCTCCTGAACAACCACTATGGTACAGCTGTAGAACATCCGGTACTTTAGCCTTAGGGACAACCATTTGCAAATGACAACTGCCTCCCCGAACATTTTCCCATTTACGGCACAGGACTCCATCCTGAATTAGCAAGCTGTCCCATTGGGCCCAATAGCTTTTCGTGGTCGAACTCATTGCTGAGACGTCGCTCCACTTGGGCTTAGGAGCACTGGCCTTCATCCATTCCAGAATCGGCTTAATATCCGAATCTTCCTGCTGTGCATGTTGTAGGCTGTCCTTCCACTCATTGCTGAGCTGGTCTGTCCTGAGCATCCCCACAGATACCACTTCCTTACCCTCTTGCCTAGTACAATGCTTGCAATCTTCAGGGCAAGGTCTTCTTGACAATGCATCTGCATTGCCATGAGATTTCCCGCTGCGATGTTCGATCACAAAGTCGTATTCCTGCAGTAATTCAATCCATCTCGCAACTTGTCCTTCCGGATTTTTGAACTGCAATAGCCATTTCAGTGCAGCATGGTCAGTTCGTAAGTGGAATTTCCGCCCTAGAAGATATTTGCTAAAATGCTGCAAGGACTTTACCACAGCAAGCAATTCGCGTCTTGTGACACAGTAGTTCCTTTCCGGCTTTGACAATGACTTGCTGAAGTACGCTATCACAATCTCTAGGTCACCATTCCGTTGAGACAACACACCGCCAAGTCCTATATCACTTGCGTCTGTGTCAACTATGAATTCCTTGCCCACATCAGGGTACCCCAAAATAGGTGTTTTGCACAGACGGTTCTTGAGCTCCTGGAATGCAATATCGCAACTTTCATCCCAGCAGAATTGTCGCTTCTCCTCGGTTAGCTTGTGCAGAGGTTTGGCTATATCTGCAAAGTTCTTCACAAATCGCCGATAATAAGAGCACAAACCCAAAAATGCTCTAACCTGTGTCTTGTCTTTTGGAACCGGCCACTCCTTGACAGTGGCAATTTTTTCTGGATCCGTGCGGATACCTTCTTCCGACACTACATACCCCAAAAAACTAACTTGCCGTTTGAATAGTGAGCACTTCTTTGGACTCAACTTGAGGTTGGCACTCTGGATCTTCATGAGCACGCGTTCCAGGTTTTGAAGGTGTTCCTCAAACGTACGGCCTACGATGATGATGTCATCCAAATAGACCAGACAGGCATCTCCAATTAGCCCGGTAAGTACAAGCTCCATCAACCTTTCAAACGTTGCTGGAGCATTGCACAATCCAAACGGCATGACTTTAAATTGCCACAGACCCTTTCCTGTGGAGAATGCAGTTTTCTCCTTGTCCTTAGGGTCAATTTCAACCTGCCAGTAGCCACTTTTCAGGTCCAGCGTACTAAACCACTTTACGCCTGTGAGCATGTCCAGCGTGTCATCAATTCTAGGCAAGGGATAGCTGTCCTTCTTCGTAATGTCGTTCAGGCGGCGGTAGTCAACACAAAACCGCATGCTGCCGTCCTTCTTCTTTACCAGCACCACAGGTGAACACCATGGACTAGATGAAGGTTCAATAACACCATCCTTCACCATTCCCTCAATCATGGTTTCCACTTCCTTTTCACGTGCTACAGGCAATCTTCTTGGCCGCTGACGAATAGGCAATTCTTGTCCTGTGTTTATTTTGTGTTGAACTAAGCCAGTCTTTCCTATGTCAGCTTCGTTTGACGAGAAAACATTGGCGTACTTGAGTAACAACTTCTTCGCTTTGACCGTTTCATTCGGGGAGAGAACGCTGCGATAGTCTTCTAAAAGTGTGGTCACTCTCGTTTGTCCATCCTTGCTAGGGGTCCCGGTCGATAGATATTCGCACCGACGCAACCAATCCACTTCCTCACTAGTATCAACCAATGTGCCTTTTTCTATAATCTGTTCCTGATCACAAAGGTTCAACACACGTACTCCTGAGATGTCGGTGGTTCTGACCAAGGTTCGAGCCACTTTCCATGGAAGATCATTGTCTACCCTTTCCACGAGTACACAACGATGAGCTTGCCCAGGACTCCGAGGAAGACTAACCGGCACAATCGTTTCCGATCTCGGCGGAAGAACAATCTTCTTAAGGCTGTACACATTCCCTGGTAACGCCCCTTCCATGAAAAGTTCCTCTTGTCCACATTTCAAAACACCTTGCTTAACGTCGATCTCACAACAATTCTTCCTCATAAAGTCTAGGCCCAGGATGCAGTCGTCCATTATATCAGCCACGATGACATTATGCAGGTAGATCATGTTGCCTAGCTTCAACTCCATCTCCTTCTCTCCACGGACGGGTATGCGCTGACCAGTGGCTGTCACCAAATTAATGCGTTCTCGGTTGTATGCGGAGTCCCCAAGGAACCGACTTATAAGTTGGGAACTGACAACCGTGCGAGAGGCTCCAGTGTCTATGGTCAGTTTACACGGCGTTCCGTTGACTTCGCCCTTGATGATCAGGCTGTTCCCATCACGGGTTTGTGAGATCGAAATCCTTGGGGCTTTTTTAACATCAGCCAGCACCCGCCAGTTTCCCTGCTGCTGCTGGGCGGTGCTGTTAGCCGCACTACCCTCTCGAGATCGATCACCTTCCCTTTCTATAGTTCGCTTAGGGCAGCTGGATCGAAGATGACCCCTTTCTCCACAGCCGTAGCACCTAGGGCTGTAGCTTTTATTGCGGTCCTGAACTGTAGCTGCTGCAACCTCCCTGACGCGGTGGGAACGATGATCCTGCCGCACGGCTTCCACCTCCAGTGCATGGGTCAAGGCGTCCTTAAGCGTCTCGTGGTGCCCGAGCCTCACAGCAGCTCTGACTTCAAGGTCGCGGATGCCGTCGATGAATGTCTGCACCAGGTTCCCTACAATAAGCGCAGGTACAGACTGGTACGCTTTTCGAACCAGCTTCTCCACCTCAAGGGCCCACTGCTGCAGGTTTTCATTACTGCGCTGCACGCGATCTTTGAGCTGCGCACGAAAGACGTGTTCCAGGTGAGCATCGCCATATCTCGCCTCCAATGCCTCAAGGAGCTGCTCGTAAGTCACTTCCTTACCGAGAGCTTCCAGAACAGTTAATGCAGTGAGAGCAGTCATGGCCTGACTCATTCCAGCCGTTCGCTTTCATGACAGCCTCGAACTGGATTTTGTAGGCCGACCAGGAAGAAGTCCCGTCGAACGGTGGCACTTTGAATCCACGTAGCGAAGGTGTTGTAGCTACCACGGGAGCTGTAACTCCATCCCCAATTTTGAGGTCGTTCAGCGTTTTCTTCACGTCAGCCATCACGTTGTCAACCCGATTGTACACTTGGTCGATTCGGGTTTCAGCTTCCGACAGGCGGTTGTCATATTGAGCAACTTTATCCTTCACCTCACTTAATTCTTTCCCGAAGGTAGCGTGAAGGTCCTTCATGAGAAGTATCTGCTCTTCCTTATCGCGTTTGAGCTGCTCTTCCAACCGACGGCCCTGTTCCTCCTGTTGGCGGGCTTGTTCCTCCTGTCCGCGCTGCAGCTGCTCTTCCAACCGACAAGCCTGTTCCTCCTGTCGGCGGGCCTGTTCCTCCTGTCGGCGAGCTTGTTCCTGCAGCATCATCATCAGAGTACCTAAGTCAGGTGCTGCAGATGCAGGAGCTGCTGACGGGCCGGACTCCGTGGTCGGCAACTGGCCTGCCGACGTCTGTGACGTTGCACCACCAAATCGTCTCTGGTCCGTCTCCTGTTGGCGTTGACTTCGGGTACGGATACCCTCGGTGTCCTCTTTAGGTAAAATCGGCATATTTGATCCCACTTCTGACACCAATTGTTACGAGCTTGGGGTTCGAGACAATTAAAAACTGCCGATTGAATTACCAAAATTGACACTTTAATTACACAACACTAATTACAATCTAAAATCACACTAATAATAAAACACAGTTCGCCGTTATTTCACTTCGAAGTATTCTCTTGTATCGCCAATTCAATACTGCCTTGGTCGTGGTCCATACCGGCCTTATATAGGGCCTCAGACAGTTTCCAGAACCTTCCACTGTAGCGACATCTAGAATGTTCAAGTACATATCGGTCCCGAAATTTCTGGAAGGATCTCGACTCTCCTAGTTCTGCTACTCGACACTAGAGGGCGCTAGTGTAACTAGTGTTGCCATGTACAAGACATTAATAGTGGCGCGCAACACTTTCTTTTACTCGATACTAGAGGGCGCTAGTGTAACTAGTGTTGCCATGTACAAGACATTAATAGTGGCGCGTAACAATATTATAACCTAGTAAAAAAATTGTATTTTTTTTCTCAGGCTAAAGCTGGAATGAAGACTGAATCGAACCCGTCATCCCAGCCGCGCACACCAGTGGGCGACAATCGGGCTCTCACTGACTCTATCAATGAAAACACTTTACCCCGATCACATAGTATTGACCCACAGCTTGATGTGAGTACATTTTTTTTTTATAGAATAAGGATGACAAATAAAACACAGTCCACCTGGTGGTACGGTCCGGCCGTTCTATCTAGGCTGGGCTGAAGTTAGTTGAGAGTGACTACGCAGATAAAGCTTTTAGGAACAAAATGGTTGCAAGAAGCGGTACGGTACGGGCGGTAACTAAAACTAGAAATGCAAATACGCATATAATTGTTATTATCGATTATGATTCGATATTATTTTATATTTTTTATGGATCATTGGTGTGTTAATGTAAAAAATTTCATACAAAAACATTTTTCCCATCTAAACATAGTCTAATTTTCATAATTTTTAGAATTGTTGTAGATATAATGGAAAACTAGGTCCGTATGTTTTTATTTCAAAGAAATATTGCGTATAAGTTATCAGCATCTAAATATGTATATTTTTGAAAACTTCCTTAAGCGTTTTGATTTTTCTAAATTAAACGAAACTGAATTATTAAAAAAGAAAATTTTGCAGACGTATATTAAGGTGTACTGAATTTAATGAGACCCAAATTGTCTCTTCGTAAAGGGAAAACGTTATCGCCCGAAAAAACATTTCCAAAAGCAAATGTCTCCAATACTTGCAACTTTCTCTGTCGCACGATACGGCGATACGGAGCGACCGGTATAAAACAGATGCATTTTTTTTTTTGAAAATTCACTCACGCAGTCACTCATACCGCGTATCGGCACTTCACAATTCTCTTAAATACAGTGATTATAATGATGTGCATTAATTTTTTTTTTAATTTTGTAGTTATATTATTTTGGACCTACTGAAAGAATTTGTTGTCCCCGCTAATATCGTGTATTTACTATATATTTAAACTTTCCATCGTAATTCTTTATTAGATTTCTTCAATTTTTATTTTAATGATAATTTTCAATTTGTTCTATTATCGAAATAAACAAAACAAATTGTTTCCCTAAGCAATCTTAGGAGCGAATATGAATTGGCACATCTCTATCGACCAACGTCTGTACTTGTGCGAATGTCTCTCAAAGCCAACTTCAGCCCGGCCAAGATAGAACGCACAGACTTTAACTTGATGCTGTGGCCCATGGACATCTACATTCGTCCTCAATCCAGAATCAAAATACATATGCGTTGTCGCCCCTTAGGAATTAAGTAGGAATGCCTCGTATCCAGTAAAAAGGGTCTGCGTTTCTCCACACTCACCATACAAAACACAACAGTATTAAGCTGCTATTTCACACTGGTATTTTGTGAGAGCGTGGTCTTACCCCGGCCGAGCTGGCTCATTTGTGCTACAATCATAATATAGTGGAAGCGTGACTCTACTATGTATAAAAATTTTGTGTTATTTAAAATACTGAAAATGTACAAACATACAGTTAATGTCTTTTTATTTTGTTACTTTTAACAAAATAAAAACTTTGCTCCGTGGCGCAGAGGCTTAGCAACCAACCAGTTGTTGCGCTGGGGGCCGCGGGTTCGAATCCCGCACAGAACAAGTATTTGTATGGCCTACAAATAATTGTTCCGGGTCTGGATGTTTGTCCTTGTGCAATTTATGTTTGTAAACTGCCTCCACGAGACAGGAGAAAATCGTAGTGTGGGGGTAACGTTTTAAAAAAAAAAATTCGAGAGAATTTTAATAAGAGTTTTTCTTTGGAAATTGGACACACCTTAAATTTCATAGGAAAACAAATCCGTGTTGTAACTTCCGGTGCCGGTGCCACTGGCATTGTTAATTGCAATTTAATTACTGATTAACATCGATCACTAATAAAAAACTAGATGCACAATCATAATATACAAAAGTTCTCTAAAAACTGTCGCCAAATGTTTTGACGTAATTCTAGTTGAAATAAATATACATTAATGTAAATTCAACCTTAAGAGAAATGCCTAAAGTTGTATTGACAAAGCAACATACAAAAAGCAATAAAATTTTACGACCGAGGCTCGTCGCTTGAACTAGGAGAGTGTAGTCGAACTGCACAATATTTTTTGTTACTGTAATTTTAATTTTACAATTTTTTTAAACTCGTTTTAAATAATTGGTCTACTAAATAAAGCATATTTTATTCTATTCCACGGTGTATATGTGTAATGGTTATATTATTACCTAAATGTAAATATACTTTTGTATAGGGCACCACATTCATTTAATAATGAAAGTAATTGAAACAGCCATAATTATTTATTTAAATAGAAATATTATAGTTACTAAATATAAAAAATAAGTACAGAAAGTTCTTGCAAAATTATTGTCCAAATTTTGACGTAATGTTCATATTTACAGATGTTTAAAAAAAATGGATAAGACTGAATAATTATAATGATTTCTTACATTTACGCGTTCACTACACATTTAAATGAAACTAGTTTTACAGATTTTATCGCGTATATTAACTTATTTTATATTCCCGACGTTTCGAGTACTATAATATTTAGAGAAACAGTAAAGAGCTCTCATTAAACAAAAAAATAATCATACTTTAATAATAAAAACATACAAAACAATAGCACCTCGAACAATGTCGACATATTTTATTACGACTTAATTTAAAAATATACTTTTACGATGATTTCTTGACAAAATATCAGTATTTACAATACAGTTATAACAATTAAATAATGTTAATATCAATACTTACCGAAAATATGAAATTCCATCCTTTTTTAGCGTCCTGGCTGTGTGATTTTTACCCATTTTTAAACGAGCACTGAGGCATGTTTACCGTCGGAGCATTCGAATGCTAATAGATTAAAAGTGCACCCATATAATAATAATAATAATAATAATATTCCACAACTATCACACAACGCCATCTAGTCCCAAGCTAAGCAGAGCTTGTGTTATGGGTACTAGACAACTGATAAACATACTTATATATTTCTAAATACATAAATATTATAGATAAATTACACCCAGACACAGAACAAATGATCGTGTTCATCACACAAACATTTGTCCTGGGTGGGAATCGAACCCACGACCTCCGGCATAGCAGTTAGGGTCACTAACCACTAGACCAACAGGCCTGTCAAATGTTCGAGTGGGTGCACATTCGGTTATGCCATTTTTGTCACTGATTGTGTATCTAGTTTTTTATTAGTGATCGATGCTGATTAACCATGCCCGAGAGAAAATATCGAAAATAATCTACATGTCTGAGAAATTATAATATTTTGAGGACTTATACGCACTGGTGAAGGAGCGGCGACCGTTTTATTGCTTCTTAATCTGAAGGTCATCTTCCAAAATTATATTTCGGGCATTTGTGATACTTATTTAGGCTTATTATTTTAATTAGTGTTGTGATTTGAGTTATTTCTAATCCGTGTCTTTGTTAATCGCTAAAATTATTATTAACTCTTAAATTTTCTTCTTTTAGTTGCATACTACACAATCTGTATCGCAGAAGAACGAAGCCGCGGTGGACGCTCTTCGCCTTAAACTACAACAGATCAAGAGTTCGTCCAAGAGATAGACCACTTCTGTCACACATCTTACCTTACGTGGCAGCGACACTCCCACACTTCGAACATATAGCGAAATTGCGGTTGTTTTAGGCAATATAAGTCGTTATTTTATAGTAGATAGGTGTTACAACGACCGCACTTGCATTTGATATGGTGTGATGTGATACAAGTCCTTATAGAGACGCTTTTACACACACTTCGAAAAACTAAAGTAATCTCATCTATTTCCTTCATGATTCCGGTGCGCTTTACCATTTAAGTTAGTTCCTACGGCAATTTTAGAGTTAGAATATCACATTCATAATTATGAAAGGCCTATTTGAATGTGGCATGATACGTCCAATGTATTTTTCTCCTTACTATGAATGAGTATAACATGACAATATGAATAACAGTATCGCATTAAGCAGGGTATATGACGCTTTTAATATTATCATGAATATCATAGTAAGGAGTCTGAAAAGTAAAAGTGAACCTCGATGAGAATTAAATTCTGATTGTTATAAAAAGTGGTTTCTTGCCGTTTATGGATGTGATTAAAGGTTAAATTTGGTTTTTGTGAAAATTTAGAAATGTACTGTTAATTTACATTGGATATTAAATAGAATTTTTGACGGAGATATTCGGATCTCACTTCTCTTGTCCTTGAATGTTTGAAAACCTGTTGATCACTCGAAATTTGCACTCAAATGCACCTTCTGTATATGTTAATCTAACTGAAATATTTAAAAAAAATATGCCCCAATATTTTATTGTTATGATAAAATCTACTAGTATGGCTTCGAAACAAAAGTTACTAAAATCATTAGTTGAAAGGCAAAATACAAAGTGCATTATGCCAGTGATTTCTATTAATATAAAAACTATCTACCTAGATAATTACAATAACCTGATAAACACTAGTTAAAACGTACTATTTTTGTCTGTTAAAGACTTAGTTCAATATTTGCTTTTAAAAGGAACAATTAATGTAGTTTTCGTGGATTGAAAACTATAATTGATGTAATTGTACTAAATGTAGAATTGAATACCTTAGTGTGGTTTGTCTATGTTTATGATTCTGTTGTTTTCATTTAAACTGGTTTGAATGAATCGAAGATTTAAGTGGAGATTTCGCTATTGCTTCATTTAAATGGCGATCCGAGATGGACAAACTAAATCAGTTAAAATCTTACTTGTATGATCAATCAATTACCTTTTGACTTTGATGTGAAGACACATATAAAAAACGGGATGTGTTACAATTTACTACATGCATCTAGGTAGATGCATTGGATAATTCAATTACCCCAAATATGTGAATATTATTACAAACCTGTCAAATTAATGTTGTAAAAATTTGTATTTTACTCGAACTGTTTGCCCATCTCTGGAGCCGTTCTTAGTCTGCATTTAGTTTTATTTTTTTATGGCTGGCAGTAGTCATCCAGTAGGTTTGTAGGAAAACTTTTAAAGCTGAGATGAGGCCAGTATTAAAATCTCTTACTAAATTGTTTTGTACCGAACTAATGTAACCCAAACATTCCCACTGGTATTGGTTTTAATGTACAAATTTTTATTCATCACTTCATACTATTAACCTATCGCTCTCACCCACAAATTATCATTTTGTGTTTTATTATAGTGCTCTAAATGTTATTCCACTTCTTTCGTTTATATTCTCTCTGCCTAAGAAGGCCTATAAGTCTCTATTTTTCAGATTAGGGCATAGAAAATTAATTTGTTTTGAAACGCTAACATTATTTTATTTATAAATATAACATTGATGTAAACGTTGACTGATTTTTAGTGTGCTCTATATATAATTTCGTTATATCAATCGCCTTTTTAAGTATATATAATCCATTATTGGAATATCTGTTAGCATATTTTCATAGTGACGATGTGGGTTATGTTGTGTCGTAATTTCTTTATAACAATTTTATCTCTACTCATTGGCATGTCAAAATGTTCAGTGTGTAACAGACTGTTACCAGAGTGAGAGTGTAAAAGCTAAATACAAGCGTTGCAACGCACGCACACAAGCGTGGGTTTCACTTACAGTAGCACACAGAGAAAATAACGCGACATGTGATACTACTGACACGCGCATACCTTGAACGCTTGTGTGCGTGCACTGCGAGACGCTTATATTAAGCTTCCGCACTCTCGTTCACTCTCCTGTTACTATGTATGTTGTTTGGTTGTTAAGTGTGAACTTCTTGTCGTTGTTCCTGATGTGTTTATAATGTTATGAATGTAAAATGAATTATGCACATACATTTCACTACATATATGTCTGGAGGTCCATTGTTATGTTATATACTTCGTATTAATTTCGAAACAATTGTAAAATATATCAGACTGAGCACTAAAAAGATAATACTCTTATTTGAATGTGTCTCGTGAAAATTTGTTAAATTTTTTTCACCTATTGAAAAAATTGTGTTGGTGTTTATAAATTAATAATTTGTATTCTAATTTTATCCATTTTGTATATCAATTTAAAAACTTGTAAAATCTGTAACCATTCTGAATATAATTTGCGCGGAACGTCCAATATATTGTTAAAAAGTTGAGGTATCGCACTTTACTTTTTCCTTTTTTTTATTAAACTTGACTTATTAATTGATAATAACAGGCATTTATTTATTCTATGTAAATTAATGTATTAAAATATTGTAATATTGGTAAATAAACTTCATACAACCTAAAATTTGCTTTATTATATTAGATCGTTTAATTAATTTTCGACGATATAATAGCAATCAGATGGGCCAGTGTCGATAAAAGTATATACTATGTGGTATCGATATTTTGCACGATACCAAGCCAAGTAAAATTAAATGTACACAGACCTCTACACGGGCCGCCAGCAGACCGGAGGGGAGTAGGTATAGCCTTTATCCCCAATAAAGAAATGTCTGTTACTTTTTAGGGTTCCGTACCTCAAAAGGAAAAAACGGAACCCTTATAGGATCACTTTGTTGTCTGTCTGTTTGTCTGTCTGTCTGTCAAGACCCTTTTTCTCAGGAACGCGTGGAGGTATCAAGCTGAAATTCATATCAAATACTCAAGTCTACTGGCTTTTAGAGCTGTGAAAAAAATCAAACTTCTAAGCCAACGCAATCAAAAGATACAGTCGTTAATGCCGTAAATTTTCGACATTCGCAAGGGAATCAAAACCTACAGGGCACTTCCAGTGAACTCAGAATCTTCAAATTTGGTACGAAGCAACATTTTATAGCACAGAGAAAGGAAAAATTGCGAAAAGCATAAATTTTTAGTTACATAATATAATAAAAATATTTTTAATAATTTCAAACTTATATACCTACAGATTTGTTCGGAACCCTCGGTGCGCGAGTCCGACTCGCACTTTGCCGGTTTTTGTGAGTGAAATCAGCGCACACAAAAACAATCGTCTGTCACTACGAAACTCACACAACAATTAAAACAAACTAATTACACACACTCGGATATATTATAGCTATCGCTCAGTGACAGCGACAACTCGGATAAACTGATAGTAGCACGACCGAATCGCATATTGCATGAGGGCGAGGCGAGCGGCCTCTGTTAGGAAACAAATCCAAAACAACACGACTGTTATTATTGTAATTTTTAAATTTAAGAAGTAAATAGCAATAAATTGATTAAAAATTACTTATGTCTGAAAGGTAACGCCACCTTATATAAATTTGACGTGGCAGCTCTCTTTTTGCATTAAGAAAACTAAATTCGGCATTTTTGTACGACATCGATTTAGCCGCGCATTGGTCTAGTGAGCACTGCGGCTAGGGATGACAAGGGAAAAAATATATATATATATATATATATATATATATAGATATTTTTAAACAGTATCGATATATATATATATATATATATATATATATATATATATATATATATATATATATATATATATTGCGTGATAAATATCGATATATCGTCATCATTTGCATGATGTATGGATAAGGCCCTAAATTTAATATTACTAAAAAAAAGTGTTTTGTCTAATGGCTTCCAGTACACGTTGGCCGAGCGCGCTTGGCGAGCGCACTCGGCAGATTTTCGTGGTGCCGTTCACACGTTTGCGTGTTTCATTCTGCGTTGGTAGCTAGATGATGATGGACGTTAGGGCAATCGCGGCCGCTGTCATATACTTATACAGCGCTTCACTCTTCTCAGAGTGAACCAAAAAAAACTACACATACAACAAAAATCCCAGTTTGTCCTTTTTAGGGTTCCGACCTGAAAAGGAAAAAGAAACCTTTATAGGATCTACTAGCTGACCCGTGCCCGCTTCGCTGGGGGTTTTTTCAAAATAAATGATAGCCCAAAAGAAGCCCCTAAGCTACATTATCCCTGAGCAACATAAACGCAGAGATAATTTATAATAATATTTTACATTCGGTAGGTACTTTGAAATCGCAACTAAACATGTATTATTTAATGCAGTTAGTCAAGTTACTTACTCTGGTTTTATTTTTATGTTGCTCATGATTAGGGTTCCATATAACTGATTCATTGTGAGAATCAATCAATGAACAATGAATCAATATTTCACTCCATAATTATTAAATCGTAATGTGTTGGAATGCATATAAGTAACATTAAAAATATATTATATTGAATTATATATTTTTTCATAATATATATATGAAATATATATATAATATATATGTGTGTGCGTGCGCGCGTGTGTGTGCGCGTGTGTGTGTGTGTGTGTGTGCGTGTGTGTGCGCGTGCGTGCGTGTGTGTGTGTGTGTGTGTGTGTGTGTGTGTGTGTGTGTGTGTGTGTGTGTGTGTGTGTGTGTGTGTGTGTATTTGTATTGTATATGTATATTTATGGAAGTACACACATTGACTACCTCTATTTCCCTCAACTATCCTTCAATAGGCCTACTGGAAGAAATTTCATCATGGAATAGGCAGTGCCTTTGTACATAATTATGTTTTTACCATTTTCCTATCGAATTATGTGTGAACATGAACTGTTAAATAAATAAATAAATATTTCCTC